ATGGGGAAAACAGAAGTGCCCTCGTTTTTAATTTTAGGGCCCCGTCCAACGCAAACGTGTAGGCAGACAGTTTTTCCACATTGGGTGGCGAGTCAGTCTCCAGGGGGAAGTCATCTGATGCGATGATTGTTCTCTTAGGTCACTGGATCAGAGGGAAAATATTCCCGCAGCCCAGCTGAGCGGGCCGTGTTTACTCCCAGGCTGGGTGGGCTGAAGCACAGCCGCTTTCTCTCCCTCTTGCTTTGAAAGGCATTTTCAAAACAAGCATCAGCTGACAAGCTTCCCATCCAGAGGAAGAGAAGGCCCGTTCAGGTTTACCTGCTCTGCCTTCAGGGTGAGCTCGATAAAGATCTGCTGCAGCTTTTCGTTGACAAAATTGATGCAAAACTGCTCAAACCCATTTTTCTGAAATAAAAAACAAACCATAGAAAGATTATTGCCAGGCTCCCTATACCGCCTCTCTGTTTGCCACATTAAGCTGGTCTTTTACAGCATAATATTTGAGTGACCTTCCCAGCTGATTTGACTGTCTGCTGTGAGCCTCTTCATGGAAATCAGTGACCTCAGTTCTCCAAAACAGCTTCCAAGATTTGAATTTTCCTTAGAACAGCTGTTTTTGGTTCTCTGCCCAGAAAAACTCAGGGCTTCTCTTTTATTTTTGCTAGAGTGCTTCACAGCCCTTTTCTGCACAGCTCCATTTGGACCCTGAATTCTGTCCCAGTTTAAGATTAAATCCTTTGTTTTAAATTAATTGAGGTTTCCAATTATAGGAAGCTATACAATTGGGCTGACATCATCGTACTGCAAAATTTAACTCAGCTCCCTCCCCCAAATGTTTTTATTGCAAAAAGGGAAGATTAATAAAGTAGTCCTGAAACATAAACAAAACTCATTCCAGCAGCCTGGCCTCCCTTCATAGTCCAGCGTGGCCAGCAGTATCACCCTGGGCATGTTTGTTAAGGAATGACGGCCATCGTGTTTGTGGCCGTCAGGCCTTGGTGAGCAGGCAGAGGAGAACAGTGGCAGGCAGAAAACGCAGAGACTTCTCAGCCGGAGTAGCCTGGTTGAGCCACTTGGCGCCGAGGCTTCCGCTCCTGGCCAGGGAGGGACCAGACCATCCGATGGGCAAAGAGGAAAGGCCACCTTCCCTGGGTCGGCAACCAGCACTGGCCACGTGGCAAAAGCCTTGCCTTCTGCTTCAAGCCAACTGGCCACGACCAGTGCTGTGGCCAAGGGTTCGGCTTCACACTTTGACCCCCTGAACAGACCCCAGCGGTGCCGGGAGGGAGGAATGGCTCCAAAACAGCCAACTGTCCTTCCTCCCACGAAAGAACCGGTGGCTTTGTGGCTGCAAAGCTTCCTGGTCGGTCTGAAGGCCTTTACCTGAAATATTTCAAAGCCGTAGATGTCTAGGACACCAATATTGTACTCCTGGTTATCTTTTGCCATCGCTTTGTTGACAGACTGATGAAAGAAAATGGGGGAAAACGTATTTCCATGAAAACAAGGAAAGCAGCTTTGAAATTAAAGTGTGACAGTGAATTGAACCTGAATAAAAAACAATAAATGCCTTGAAAAGCTGCAGGGCAGACCATTCCCTCTGCGCTCTTGCCCAAGGAAACGGATGCCAGTTACTCTGTCCCACCAGCCATAGGGGCTCCTCACACACACACCCCTCCTGCAAGGGCAGTCCCCTCCCAATGGGCAGAGCGCCTCGGAATCTCATCTGATGCAGCCATTTGAAGCGGCTGCTTTCAAGCCGCAACGCAGAGAGGTGGGGGCTTGAAAGCAGCCCTTGCAAATCGCTGCCCTTCGCAGATCCTGGAACCTCTTTGAGAAAATGCTGCTGCTGAGAAGTGACAAGGGGAAACGTGCTTTCCTTGTGGATCAGTGGAACGTGTTCGGGAAGGTTTTATGCCTTTATTGTTTGCAACTCTGTAAATTGCTGGGATGGCTGAGTGCAAAGTCTAAATAATCCTCGTGATGGACCCCACCCTTCCCACCCTTCCCTCCCTTGATGTGTTGAAGCACCACTTACATCCACCAAGTAGCCGAAGACCCTGGCGTGAAGCGCTTTGGCCAAGGCGTCCCTGATGTAACACGCTTGCTCCACGTTGAGGGTCACATGGATGGATTCTGATTTGCCGCCCCACTTACTGTCCATCTGTCTGCTGGTCAGTTTCTCTTTAAGGCGGCCCTGGTCAATTCCCAGGAGGAAAGCCGGGAAGGCCAAAACTGCAGGGTGTCAAAAGAAAACCACAGTGAGGCAGCAAAAAAAAAAAAAAAAAAAACAGGAGGAAGAGGATGGGTCTTTTTTATTTAGATACCCCCATCCAGGACAATGGGCCTTGGGTCATTATGTAGATTTCCTTGAGAAAACATTCTGTGGCCCCCCCCCTTCAGTCTCCGGTTCTGGACACCTTCTGGGTGGAGGAGGAGACACTCCTCTGGAGAACGTCCATTGCCCCTGAGCGTCTTGCTTGTGAGGACGTGGCTCTTCCTGAGGATGACCCTCTGACCTGGTGCTGCATGCACAAAGCCCAGGGACCCCTGGGGCCTCTGGGCCACTGCTCCACCCCAGCCCAAGAAGGGCTACCTACACTCTTCACTCTCCACTGCGGCATAGTTGCTGACTTCTCTGAAGCTGAGGGTGCCCAGGTGGAGCACCCCAGCCACAATCTGGATCACCAGCGCCTGCTCCCCCGCTGAGAGACCAACGACCTTCATGGCGTGCTGCAAAGATTGAGAATGGGAGGAAAAGGGTTAAAAGCTCATCTGGAGAGCACAATCAGTTTGGATCAATTAACAGTGGTAAATATTTCCCAGTGTCATGGTCCTAAATCAGGCTTGTGCCTTTCTCTCTCTGAAAGGATAAAAAGAAAAAAATACTGATTTATTTTGTTTTAAATGAAAGCAGAACCTTCAGGGAGGGAGCCCATGTGAAGGCCTGCTCTTCCATTGGTGCGGGTTGCCTGTTCTCGCCAAAAGAAGCTAATTCAACTTGCGGTTTTCCAAGCATTTTTAAAAAATAGTTTAAAAACACACTATGGGACCGAAATATTAAATTTACTAAAGCAGCTGCATATAAGGAAAACTTATATAAAATGTTTTACAGATGGCACATGACATGTTTAAAATAGAGAAAATGTTTAAAAATGTATCAAATATGTGTTGGAAATATAAACAACAACCAGGCACTTATTACCATCTCTGGTAAATATGTCCTAATGTTAAAAAATTTTGGTTTAAGATCCATATTTATTTATTTATTTATTTACTTATTTATTTATGAGACTTATATACCGCTTTAAGTGCAAGCACTCTCTAAGCGGTGTACACCAGTAAGCAATGTATATATATATATATATATATATATACATATGCATATATATATATATATATATTTACATTGCCCCCAACAATCTGGGTCCTCATTTTACCTACCCCGGAAGGATGGAAGGCTGAGTAAACCCTGAGCCAGTGAGATTTGAACCGCTGACCTGCTGAACACAGTCAGCTAAAGTGGCCTGCAGTACTGCACTCTAACTGCTGCGCCACCTCGGCTCTTTGTGGCTAGAAGAGATGATTAAAATACAGATAGAATTTAAACCAGAACTCTGTTTGTTAGGAATATTAGGTTTGGATTATGGAAAAGAGAATGAGGATTTAATATTGCATGTGCTGACAGCTGCAAAATAATATTTGCCCAATTTTGGAAAAATGAAAATTTACCATCTGACCAGGCTATAATAACAAAAATACTTGAATGTGCAGAAATGGATAGACTGACTTTAGAAATGAAAGAGAAAGAAGACACAATTTACTTTAAAACATGAGGAAAATTTTATTATTGGTTAGAAACACGCTAAAGTGAGAAAAGGTTATGAAATTTAAAGAGATAATTGATAATTTGTATTTATATTCCATGATTATTTGTATGAACTTGTTCTTATTTCTTCTTCTTCTTCCTCTTTGTATATTTGTGATCTTAAATAATATGGTAAACTACAATTAATATGTAGTATATTATTTTAAAGTGATTATAATTAATATTAAGCATTATTAAGTAGTGAAATGAATGAGATTTATTGACTAATTTGTTATTTACGTGATTATATGGAAAGTTGTTTAATAATAGAGTAATTATTAAGATTTAATATGTAAACCCGGACTGGTAGACTTGCTGAAGCGATGCTATTTTGTGGGATTACCGTAATCCCACTTTTGTGTTACCCCTTTTCCCTGGTCTAACCTTTTTGTATGTTTCCCGTTGTCTTACTCTTTTTGACCCTATCCCCTTATTACCTTTATAAAACTCAATAAAAATACTTATAAAAAAATAATTTAAAAACACAATAAGCAAAAGCATAAATCCCTGGAACTATAAAGCAAAAACTAATTTTCAAAGTTTATGCTCTCCAGCTGTTTCTCACCATGTCACACAGCAAGGCAGAGGAGATGTTTAAACAGCAGCAGAAGAGAACTTAAAAATCTTCCTAAATGGCTAAATATGCTCTTTTTGTATTTATTTGTTGCTTGCTCATATTAAAATATGACTTGAGACTAAGGATGTTATTCTTCATTTTGTCTGACTTCTCAGTTCAGGGAACCAAGCAGAAAGCCAGAGGGAAAAACAGGAACCTTGGAGACCCAACAAATCCACAAATGTCACCCCAAAATCTAGCATTGTTGGCAATGCGCAGAGGAACAAGCAAGGGCTCCTTCGCCAGCCAAATCAACAAGAGAAGGGAGAACCAGAAGATGAAAATTGGGTCTCATAGGCAGTACTGAAATTTGAGTAGAAAAGAGGATAGATGGCATAACAGTCCATTTTTTTAAAACCACCTCCAGGGATTGAAAAGAGCTTCCTAAAATCCCAGGCCTTTTGTCCAGAATGACTGTCAGTTGGCATTTAAGTGCCTCCTCCAGCTGGTGGCTTCTCAGGCACCCTCATCATAAGTGACCCCCACTAGCCATTGCTGCCTCCCACCCCTTCGGGCCTTCTAGCTGCTTGGCTTATCGCAAAATTACATCAGGAGGCCAGATAAGAACAAGGATGGACACGGGAAAGCAAAAAGACATTTCACTGTACATGTCGACCTTGTTTTTGTTCTCAGAGAGCTGCAATTAGGACCCTTTTCTCACAGATGCTCATTCTTATCAAAAGGGGGGGGGCAAAGGGGAGGGTAAACTTACCAGAGTTTCCTGGAAGTCAGATTTGTCGTTGATGTCTTCCACTTTGTAGGATCCTGAGAGGCTCAAGTAGTGGTAATAATCCATGCTGGTGATACCAAGGCTGGTCTTTTGCTCATTGGAGGCGCCTTCAATCAGCTGCAGGAAACCCCCCCCCCAGGGTAAATTAGCCCACTTTGTGTTGTGTTGGGGAGAGAAGTTGGCTTCATTTATTGGAGGGGGAGGGAGCACTGCTTTCATCCTTACTAGGGCTTCAAAGGAGAACAATCAAAACTATCCCTGAGAATACCTGGTGGGCTTTGGGCAGGGAATCCCCGCCAATGCTGGCTCTCCAGAGATGGGCCTGGGACAGGTGAAAGGCCCGGCCTTGGACTGGGACTCCTTCAGGAGAGCCCAGCAGCCAGTGTATTCAAAAGGCCGTCCTTGTATCAGGACTGCAAATTGGGTACTTGCTTGCTGGGGGAGGATGGGGGAAGTCGTCCAAAAGCTCCAAATATACCCCCCCCTGAGAAACAGGAGCAGCCAAGCTTGCCAAGAGGTTGGGGGGGGGCTCTTCTTCAACCTCCCCCCCCCATCCCCAGGCAACCTCTGACCTGGTAAAAAATGTGGAAGCTCCTTTCCCCGGGATTCCTCATGACCACTCGGGATTTCTCCAGCAGGAAGTTGGAGATCTTGCCGCCGTCTGGCTCCCCACCTGGACTAAACTGGATTTCAAAGTATTTCCCCTGCAACAAAGGGAGGATGTTGGTGGCTGAAGGAGGGCAGCACAAAGGTCCAGACATGGCTGTGGGACCGCTTTCCCCGAGGGGAGCAGGAAAGCCTCCTTTCCTTCCTAGGGGCATCAGAGTGGATGCCTGGCTCTCCCCTTATAGTCCCCCCATCCTTCACCCCCGGGAGCAGAACGGAAACGGGCAGAAGGGTGGCTCTGGGCCATCGTGTACCACTCTGGCAAACCACCAAACGGCACGACTCACAAATCTGCTGGAGTTGTTGTTGCGAACTGTCTTGGCATTGCCAAAGGCCTCCAGGAGGGGGTTGGACTGCAGAATGATATCCTTCACATGCTGGAAGCCAGAAAGTGGAAGTCAGGCCCTCCTCCTCCTCTTGCCGGATCATCCAGGAGGGTCCTAGGCAGGAATCTCCCCTCCCCGACAGTTACAGGGGAGAGGAGGCCCCTGTCCACCTGCCTTGACCCTTCGGAAGTGACCCAAGCAGACTTAAGCAATGGGGGGGGGTAACTGGCCTCTTTCTACACCCTAGCGCCCTAACCCCCTGCTTCTAGAAATGGGGCTTTTCTGCCCAGTGATGTCCACCCTCAACATGGGATACCAAAAGACCCTTTTGCTGTTTAGCACTCCTTCCATCGATGCCCTTTCCTTCTCAAATCTTGCAGGAGAAACAGATTGAACGAGGTTGCCATTAATTACACCAGGATTGGAATCAATTACCAACAATCTCCTTTGCAGTCAGGAAGACTCCTGTCGCTGCCTCTACCTGTTTCCTGGCCACATTGCTGCCTAAATCTGGCTTACAGGGAAAAAAATGGAACTCCTCCCCTTCCTAGAAATAACTGAGCAGCTTATTTATAGTGTGCAATTAAGCCCATTCCAAAAACAACAGTTGCTCCCTCTTTGGCTAGTTACAGGCGGGCTGTGATCTTCCATGGCAACATGGGAAAAAAGACATAATCAGCAAGACTCTCACAGTGCCAACAAATTACAGGGAGCCGAGACTCAAGGAAAGTAGCGGCCTGGCTTGTCCAGAAGTCTCCCTTCTGGTCTTCTCCTCCTCTCACCTGCACTTTGGGGCCTCCTCCGGATATTTTGGAGATGTAGCTCATGATGTACTTGGCTCCCACAGTCTTCCCAGCACCACTTTCACCACTGAGGAAAATTAAGAGTAGCCTCTTGTTGCAACCATTCCAAGCAGAGTCCTCAAGAACCACCGTTTGTGTCCCAGAAGCCTTGACCTCCTGCAGTTCCAACTGTCCTGAGCAGGGAGATTAGAACCCCCTTCCCACCGATCATCCTGCCTGAACCCCTGAAGTATGGCTGATGCTCGGTTTCCCCTCCATCCATTGGGAGCCAGGGTTAAAGATGAGGGTACCATCTTGCATTGCCAGCCAACCCTGGCTTGCCAGGCTTGGATGTGGCCAGTGCTGCACTCTAAGGCACCAGCAACAGAGACTTCCACATCCTTGGCTGCAGAGGGGGAGAAGTCTGAAAGGCCACCACTGCCAGACTGAGGCTGAGGGCTGTCCTGAGCAGCTGTGCTCTTGGGTGCTTGAGATCCTGTTTTCCTGCAAATTTGCATGGTTTTATCGATCAGGATCCTGGTGGATCCGCTAAGTATAAAACTCAGCAGGACAAGGATGCAATATTGATGAGCCACAACAAGCAGACCCAGCAAGGCAGTTTGTCTCCTTCCGAGTCCTCCAGGCATATCCTCAAAGCCCTCCTGGGAACGGTGGCCATTCCAGCCAACGAGGTTCCTTGTAGGGCAATTGCCTTCTATTGCTTTTCCAATAAGTAGCCGGCAGATGCATTACCTTTTCTACTTCGGTCCCTCTCAGGGCTGCCCCACCAGCCTTTCAAAAATAAAGCTAGGATGTGTGATTAAAACCACTAGGAAAGAAACATTACGAGAACTCTATTTTGGTACCTATTAGCTGTTCCCATCTACAGTTACAAAAATACTGCAGTGCCTATTGAAGAATTCTGAAAGTCAACACAAAGAGAGAAAAATCAGCAGGAAAAAAAACAATGAGGCTCAAAAGTTTTGGCTTAGTGTATGACTGTGCACATACCCACTGCAGCTTAGTATTTTGGGTCAAGAATGATGGCTTCTCCAACAAACCATGGTTTAAAAATCTTGCTTAGCATCTGTGAATGCAGTCAAAGAATTTTTGCAGTCATTCATATTAAATGTAGTATTATAAATCTTGCTGTTGCTTCCTTTTCAAAATTCCTAACACGCCTAAGTTTTGTTTTTTTTTAAATAAAGGGATCGATATACTCGGGATGATAAACTTAAACTGGTGATTGAAAGCAAAATCTGCTATGTATTTTCTCAGACGTTAATCCCACTAAGATCAAGGAGGTTGTTACCCTGGAAAACTATGATTAGGATCCAAATCTTGATCTGGCAACTCCAAGTAAGAACGCACAGGGCATCAGGCTGCCTAGTGAGGCTCAGCTATATGCTAAAATAAGTCACGAAGTCGATGCATTATCGAATTGAGTGAAAAATCAAATGTACATTTGATACCAGAATAAATAGGATTTGGGCTGCTGGAGCTTGCGGCCATGGCCAAGTTGCCCTCAGCCAGTGTGCTTGATGGAGGTTTGAAGAAAGAGTTCTCAGCTCTAGGAGAAGCCTATCTGCTCTGGGCTGGGCAGCGTCCACCATGCAAACAAGGATGGATCTTCTGGCCATGGCCGGAAGACCCTCTTAGACCAGGCTCCCCAAAAGTAGCACTCACCCACCCACCTTCAACCAACTATTTCTAGAGAACATCAGGTCTCTGCCACGCCTGCCCCTTCTCTCGAGGCGCTATTTCGCTTTGCCCAAGAACATGTGAATAACTTGGGTGGAGCGTTATTCTTTCCGTTGCTTCAAGCAAAGCCTCTGCAGAGGCACCGTCAGCAGCCCCTTCTCAGGACCAGGAAAGCCTTGCCTGCTCCTTTGCCTCCGTAGGTCACCCCAGAACTTGGGGCCCCCACCGCTCCTTTCGTGCCCTGTATGTATTCCAAGACACTTCCAGTGCCAGGAAAAGATCCTGGTGGCATCTAAACATGAATGTATTTATTTATCCAATCTATTTGCTGCCCATCTTGAGGTTCAGGTGACTTTGAATGTCAGAATGTTCATAGAGAGGACAGAACACCCGTGTTGTCCCTCTACAGCAGAGTTGTATGCCCTGCACAGCTTGAGGGCAACTGCAGCGTGCCAAGCTTCAAACAAAACAAAAAAGAACTTCTAACGAAGCCTCTCTTTCCGTCCTCAGCCACACGGAGGGTGAATTCCTGTAAGTGGCAGATACTACTTTTTTTTAAGCTTAAGAAACCAGAAATAGAAATAAAAAAAAGCCACAATAATGACAGGTTGGGGAGAAAAAACCCAAACTGGCCGCTTCCAGGCTAAGTTTGTGTGCCACAAGCAAAGATGGAAGAGAGGAGGCCTCTCATTCATTCTTTCCACTGTTTTCTCTTTCAAAAAACTGCAGTGCAAATTAACTGTTCTGCCCTCGAGCATCGTGGACCCTCAAACTTAACATACCAGGGTGAGTTGGGGAACTTCCCCAGGGGGTGGGAAGCAGGATTGGGAGACCCAACTGGCCCAACAGAATGTCAATGTTTTCTGACAAAGAACTGTATACTTTCTTCATACACCAAAGAGACAATATCCCCCCTCTGGATGGAATGGAGACACTGGATGATTTTTGCAGGTGGGATTAGTCGTTGCTGTGTTTTCTTTACCTGCTTATACCTCATTCGTCACTTTAACTCCATTCACTTCTACATTTAAGGTTCAGCTATTTCATCCTCTCCTGTAACTTTGCAGTTAGAAGCGTTTCCCTGGGCCCACTTGACTCCATTGTGCAGAACATCTGGGTCCATTTCAGCGATCCCTCCTTTACATCTTCTTTGTCCAATAGACCTTTACCCCTGTTCATTTATCTTGCCATCCATGCCCAAGCTCCATAATTTTCCTAAACAAATCCCTTGTCCTTCTCATTCAGGGATTCTCCATCCATCCATCCATCCATCTTAGGAGGCGTGGTGGCGCAGTGGTTAGAATGCAGTACTGCAGGCTAATTCTGCCGACTGCTACTGGTAACAGTTTGATCCTGACTGGCTGAAGGTTGACTCAGCTTTCCATCTTTCTGAGGTCGGTAAAATGAGGACCCAGATTGTTGGGGGAGCAAGATGTTGACCCTGTAAATCACTTAGAGAGGGCTGTAAAGCACTGTAAGAGCTATATAAGTGTAAGTGCTAAGTACTATCCCTCCATCCCTGGATTTGCTAACCTAAGCATATGCCCTCATCTGAACAACAGGTGTGGGGTTTCTCCCCCTGGCAGAATTCCCAGGGCTTCAAAGCTCCTTTGGGCAACAGGAGGGGGAGGCCACTTGCAGAGCCACAGATGTGATGCTCCCTCCCTCTCTCCGACTGCTGCCGGCCCTGCCCAGGTGCAGAAAGGGAAGTCGGTCCCTTACCTGATGATCACACACTGGTTCTCTCGGTCAATTATCATGTTTCGATACATATTGTCTGCCAGGGCATAGATGTGTGGTGGATTTTCATACTGCGCCTAAAGAGAAGCAAGCATTGAGGCACAATACGAGAGGCTGTCATAAATACAAGAATTGATTAAAAGATCCCATGAAGAAGAAAGAGACCGGCCAGAAACACCTGCCCTGTCCCACTTGGACATGTGGAGAATGAGGCTCGGTGAGTAAGAAGCAGGAAGCCATGGGAAAAGTGGAGAAGCTTTTAATTCATTTTTTAATGAAAATAAGTTTTGAAAAGCTGAAGAAAACCACTTACGGCTCCCTGGTACATTTCAATTTCTTTCTCTCCAAAATACGGCATCTGCTTGAATGGATTGACAGAGATTAGAACGGATCCAATGTAGGTCTACATTAGGAAAAGTCAAGGTTGGTGTCATTTCAAGAAGCACAAAGGAAGCGCCCACTCCTCTTACAATGGACCTGAGCTACTCCTCAGATTTCACCTGATACGAAGTTTGATTTGTTTGATTTCCATCTTCAAAAGCAAATGTATGACTCAAGTTGTGGATGGTCTCATCTCATTTCCTGCCAGGGGAGTTTAGACAATAATGGCAGTTTTTCAGTTACGTCCGTTCGGGTCAGAGCACTGAGCCATCCCACTAGAGTCCAGCCTTTGGGGCAAAGGGCAGCCTCTCCTATCCTTGCTACCTCACCTGGGAGGCCAGGAATCCAACCTGGCAACTCAGGCCTGCAAAGGATGGCCTGTCGTGAGCTTTTAACTCTGTCAACCATTAACTCTTTAACCCAGTTAATATGTATCTGCCTCATTGTTTTGCTCCCTTTGCATTTGATGATGTTTGATACCAAATGTTGCCAGAGAAGAGATGCCCCCTCTGGGGTTGCAGGAGAGAGAGAAAGCAGGGACTCTCCTTCCTCCCCTCCTTTTTTTCCAAGTCAGCCACAATAGTTTCCCATATTGGTGCAGAGCTGCAAGATTTGGAGATGGGTGTTGGTGTCTGCTTCACGCTGGCACTACACTCAGGATAACCACACCCACCCCTTGCCTTTCAACACGCCGGCCCTGTGAACATGGACACAATTAGCGCTCAGTCTTACAAACAAAATCCCATTGTTTGGGGTCAGTAACTGCTGGACGATATTATGCCACTACTTAAGCAAAGAAAACCAAGGCAAACAAACCGAAATTTGCACCCAGATGGTGCAAAAGAGAAGAGATCCGAGAAAGGGATCCACCCGGGACATCTAGATGTAGCTCAGGTGAATGAGGAGGGTGAGCCTCCTTCCATGGAAAGATTTCAACTGCCTTTGCCCATGAGGGCCACTTTGCAAACTGTCACCAGGAATGAGAGATGCAGCTGCCGCTGGCACAGCTAAACAGCCGGAAAGACAACCAAGCTCAGACAGGCGAGGAAGGCAAGTGGACAAACAAGGGGGAGGCGGCCTTCAGGTGCTTTGGGCTGCCTCTCTGCAGGCCCAAATCACTCCAAGGCCAAGAATGAAAGAGCCCCAGCCCGCAGCCTCCCTTTCTGTTGGATTCCTATCAGGAAAGCAACACTCTCTGCCTTTCAAGATGGAGCTGTTGGGAAACAAGGACCACTGAACTCTCTTGCTTCCTTGCTCCACCACAAAATTCTGAAAGCCTGACTGTCCCTCTGCCCCCCTGCCCCAGAGAGCGCAAGGCTGCCTTGGCTCTCCTTCTCCCCCACCTTCCTCTAAGGGCCAGATGCAGGTTTACACATTCTTGCATTCCTTCTCCAGGGTTACTTTCAACCACACACGTTTCCCTACTTGGCCCTAAGGCTGAGCAATTCAGCCACCCCCTCCCCCCCCCAGGCAAGACCATCTCCCCACGGGGCCGCTGGCTCTTCTTCAAAGCTTATTTGCTGTTCGTATCCTGCAGAGAAAGCAAGGTAAACAAAGCCACTCAGGTTTGTGTGATAACAGCAGCTCCCAGAGGGACACCTGGGGGTGGGGAGAAGCAGCAAGCGGGTGGGGGCAATTCTTCCTTCCTCTGCCAAGCAGGAAGGGAAATTTTGGAGAAAGAGCTGCCTTTCAGGATGCCCAAGAGGTTCCCTCTATCTCTGATCCTCAGATGGACCCCCCACCCCCCTCCCCAGCCTTCATTGGGCCCCCGAGGCTCAAGCTCTCTCTCTGTACTGGGGCTCAGTAACATCAGCCAAGGAAGGGCAAGCCCTGCACCCCGCTTTCTGCGGAGTAGCTCTGAGTGGCTGTCCTCAGACTGCGGAGAGTCTGCCAGTGTGTGAGAAAGTGGGATAACAAGGTGAGCTCTGGCCTCTTCACATCCCTGGAATCCCTTTCTCAGGTGACCCTGCCAGCAGCCAAACAGGACTGGCAGCTCCTGCTCTTTCCACCCCTGCCTTCCCCTTGAACTGAGAGACGCTGCTGGCATCGGCTGCTGTCTTCCTGGCAGCTGCCGAGGTCCCAAGACATCTGGCAGAACCCTCCAGCCAGAAAGAGAGTAAACCAAATGGCTGGCCAGGAGAGGAGGCTCTAACCCGGGAGGCTCCTGACGGTTCCTCTTCTCCGGTTCAGAAGCCGGTGAATAAACACCGGGCGGGCAGGGGAGAGCTGCTCCCACAGACTCAGGAAAGGATACAAAAATAAAGTCATCCAGGTATCGCTTCTTGAGGTTTTCCACAATGGAGTCTTCTGAGATCTTGGAGAGAAGGACCATATCATCCACACCGCTGTGCTTGACATTGTGGCTCTGCCAGTGATACCGAAAATGGCCCTTGCTCCCCTGCGGGAGGAAAAGACCGGGGAGCAGGTTAATTAGAAGAAGGGTGGCATATCTGTGTGGAGACAGAATCTCCAAGAAGGCGGACTCAAGAGATGGGGGGTGGGAACAGTATCGCCAGTAACAATTATGGAATGAAAAGTAAGAGCAGCTACATTGTTAACAAATGGTACATGCCGTATATAAATAAATTCTGCAAGATACATAACTCTCAGAGTTGAAAGGGACCTTAGAAGGGAAATGGTCTGCGGAGGCAGCATCTGCTTAGTTTGGGATTCATTAGAACATCTTTTTAAGGCGACCGTCCAGCCCCGCAGGCCTCCTAGTTCATAGGCTGACAGCTGGTAGGCTCGGAAGCCACTCTAAGGCCAGGTGGGCTCCTCCATTCTGATCAGGCATGATTATTTCTGTCAGGCCTTTAATGGCTGGAGAATAAAGATCTCTGCAGGAGAGCAAGTCGGGAGTTCCCAAGTGCTGAGAATAGAAAAGGAGCTGACAGAACTTCCTTCACAGGAGAAAAGCAGCCCAAAAAGGAATTAGTGGAGTGTGCTGACTTCCTAATCAGGAGGCATCTTTCCAGCAGTGCTTCCTGCACAAAGGTGGGGAGACTAAACAAGGGAGCGGAGAGGCAAACGGGAAGAGCTCCTTGGCCTCAAAAATGCTTGATGGAATTTTAAAAATAGAACACCACACACCGTTCAGTTGTGGCATCTGCTACCAGTGCAGATGTTCCTTCTACAGACAACTGATGACCTAAACTGGGGACAGGAGAGCAGAAAGTGGCCCATCTCAGAACAAAGTGGAGGAAAAAAACGAGGGAAGGAGGACTCTGCCACCCACAGACACCCTGTGGAGAAAGGGTTTCACCTCTGGTCCTCCCGTGGAAACACCTGGCTCCTTTGCAAGCCAGAGCTACAAGGAACTACAAACTTGAGTTCTATCATTTCTGGCCGTAACTGGGATAAAGGTTTCCTTCCTCATCACTGGTGCCAATTAACTTACAGTATCAGTGTCTAGTTAGCATTACTCCTACTGTGAAACACTTATCGAAAATGTCCTGCCTAAGAGTCAACATAATGGCCGTTCCTTCCCTTCCTTATCAAGATCTTTAGTTTGGCCCAGGCCCACAAACCAAGCAGACCCAGCTCTGTTTCCAGTTGATGAAAACCTCAGACAGGTCTGCCTACGGGGGCATTCAGGCCACCGCAGCCGATGCTCTGCACGACAGGTAGGCCTTCAGGGCCCACACGCCTCCCTCCCATCTTAAAGTAGCTGTGCCAGCAGAGAGAGCAGCTTTCGCCTGGGCATGTGTGAAAAGGCTCGAAGCACGAGCAGGTCCAGGGAGAGGAGGGCAAGACCTGAATTCCCAGAGGAGAAAAACCTGACCCCACTGGCGATCAGGTGACTGTTGGTCCCCAAGCTGTTGGAAGGCCCTCACTGGCCTGAACAGTTTCAAGCCCGGTCCAAAGGAGGATGGAAGGTCACAGAAATCCAGGCTTAGGAGAGGACCTGGCTGGCTGCAGTCTGAGCCCACGTCCACCCGCTCATCTGTCCCCAGATGTTTGAAATGAGTTTCCATGCTTCCAAGGCCTGCCCTCCTGTGCAGGATCACCATAGCCACAAGCCATGGGAAAACCATTCCTTGGGTTGCCCTGAGGAAAAATCCCAGAAAAGCTTCTGCCCCAGAGCCAGCATTCCAAAGAATTCCCCAAGGAGGCCAGTATAAGCAGATACTCCTCAAAGTGCGTCAGCAATAATCAGCCCTTAAAATCACCCGGACAAAAGCTATTCATATTTCTATATTGTGAAAAAAAAGCTTGCTTCAAGGAGGAAACATCCCTCAGATATCTTGCCCGTGCCTTGGAAAATGGGGAGCCGTTCTCCCTCAACAGACCTTTCCTGCAGCAGATCCCAACGCAGCCCCCTTGCAACAGATTTCATCAGCTGGTAGGGCAGACCCACTTCTTGACCCACAGGTCGCTTTCAGGAATGACTGAGAAGGCAGCATGAACGGTTTTGCTTGTTGAAATGCTTTTGCCAGCCTTCAGGATATTAAAGTGAGGGACAATGAGCCCCTGGAGCTTTTCTGCACTGATTTTTGCATATTAAAGGAACTTTTCTGCACTCTTCCCCATCCCACACTGGGGTTTCCTGGGGATTTTGTTCTGTTTTGATCCCAGGATCACCTATGGCCACCCACAGGGCAGAGATGCTTTCTAGCTTGTGAAGCATTGGCAGCACGGCAACCCAGAGTATTTAAAGCACTTGCTGCTTACACGCGTGCACGCACGCACACACAGATGGCTCGAACTCAGCACAGCTGTTGCTATAGACACTCCACCCCAAGGCAGCAGCATCTCAAAGGCCAGTGGAGATGCTTAGGAAGCCCATTGTCCACCTTTGGGGTATATCATTTGGTTGGTATCTGTGACCTGAGAGAGGTTCAGTCCAGGGCCCTACATCTCAGAAAGAGCCCTTTTGTCCAACATATCCATGGATTTGGAGAAAGAAGCATTTTCTTCCAGCAAATTGAGCCTTGGAAACTCAGCCAGGATTATTCTTCTCCTGCAGGAGGCTGTCCTGTCCCACTAGCTCTCTGAACTTAGGCAGCAGAGAGCCATGCATGGAGAAGAAAAAGGGCAGGCTGGACATCTTGGCCTTCAGCCTTACCCATCTACTATTAACTTTTTAAAAAATAAGCATTATGCGTATTCGGTCTGAAGACCCTGTTTCAAGGTACACCTGTATCCTCATTCCAGCCCTTAACAACGACAACATCTGTTGCCTCCCTGGTTGCAGATGGGTGCTGCTGGGACAGCAGAACAGCCTTTACAACTGGCACTCTCAAGAAGCTTTGGACTATAACTCCCATGGTCCTTGGTTCCACTGATCCAGTTGTCCCTCTCAGAGGATCCTATTGATTGCAGGAATCATCTGAAAAGATGTTGGGCTGCACACCGGACGTGAAGAGGTTTTGCTGAAGGTGAAACTGAGTTGCACGTGAGTCCCTCGGGTTGCTCCTTTCCTTAGTGGCTGCAAAATGAGGGGGTGACTTGCTGTACCCACTAAGGAAAGTTCAATTGGTTCTCTGCTACCCCCCCCCCAAAAAAATTGGCTCATTTCCCACACATTCAAAGCAGGCTGTTTTGCTAAAGAAAACTAGCCCTTGAATTCAACCATTTTTTCCCCAAAAGTTTAAACCCATTCTCAGATTTTGTGTTTTGCATGCTCGTTAGCCAGCCAGAAGCAAAGAGGGCTAACAAGCAACAGAAGCCGGAAACTGAATCTGAAGGAAAAGCTGAATCATAAATCAGTTCTGAAAAGGAAGCCTACAAGTTGTGTCTGAACAAAAAAAGGGGGGGGGTGGGATGAGTAAGTCATACTGGGGAGAAATAAAACTGATGAATGATTTTGGAATTCTGGCCTTTCTCGTAGCAGCACAGATGTGGGAGGAAGTTGGAGATGCGCCACGCAGCAATGAAGCCAACCACAGAGCTTAGGGTGGCCCAGGTGCTCCTCACCACTGCCTTGTGAGGTAGGCCAGAAAGAACCAGCGACCCCAAGCCCCCCCCCCCCGTGCTGATGAGATAGCCCAGCTGAGGGTGCTTGTTTCTTCTGCCAGAACTAAGAGGGTGTGGCTGGGCCTTTGACTATTGCCAGCCGCCTGGTGTCTGAAGAGTTATTATATTCACGTTGAGGCAAAGGCCTGGGACCAAGAGGGCCAGTGGGAGGAATCGGTTGGGGGGGGCAGGAATGTTGAAGCCGCCCAGCTGGAGGCCTCAGAAGGAACGGATGCAGCTAGAAACCCATCAGAGCTCCCAGTCTGTGGCAGCTGAGGAAAACCCCATTTGCAGGTCAGCTTTGGAAAAGGAAAAGTGATCACAGACTGTCCCTCCAAGGCAGCTGCCGAGCCAGCACGTAGGAGCAAATCCTGAGAAATGCCATTAACTTCACATCATCCCTTATAGTGGCTGCCCCTGAACACACCCCAGTCTCAAAACAGTCAGAGCAGCCACCCTGTTTTTCTTCTCCAACACAAAGCAAAGGGCAGGTCGATGAAAACCACAACTGGAGTGCCTACTCAGAAGGACCCATAATCCCCAGCCTGCTGGCTCCTCCTCACGAGTCGGCTTGAGCCCAAAGACATGCCAGCCAGGAGGGCCAAAGGAGGAATGACAAATCGCTACTGTGCGGGACTTTCCCACAAGTCAGGCAGGCTCCCTGTTTTGTCAACCTCTTTGGATCCAGCCCAGCAGTAGTGCAAAACCGAACCCCTGGAAGGGGCCGTGAGGAAGGCTAGCCCTGGCTTGGCACTCGTGGTGGCACTTTCTGCTTGCTCTCCAAGAGGGACGACAGGAGCCAGCAGAGGTAAACTGAGAGAAGAGATCCAGACTTGCCGCAAGGAGGAATTTCCTGCCGGAGGGGGCTGTCTCTGGGGACTGGAGCTTTGCAGGCCTGAGGGCTGCCCCCTTGAAGGCGTCCTGTGTGCAGAGCCAACAAAGCAGACCAGAGACCTGCCTTTTGCATCCTGGAGATGACGTTTGCTCTGGGTCTGCAAAGTGTTTTCAGGCCAAGACTTGTTCCGGCCACCAAGGGAGATGATGTCCGATCTGCCTCCTGCAAGAAGAGACTTTGCTCCAACCATTTTCTGCCAGCAAGAATCTAGGTTAAAGAAACACTTCGGTGTAGGGCATCTGTACACTCAGGGACAAGCCAGCAGGGTGTGTTCTTTCTTTTCTTGGACTAGAACATCCAGTAAAATCAGATCCAACTTCCTTGATTTAAAAAGTCTCTGCCTGTCCTCAAGGCCCTTCCCCACCCCAAAGCCTCCATCTGAAGGAGCAGCAGAAAGGCCACACTTTCCATCAAAATAAATAAGGCGACGCCCACAACAGACTGGAAAAGGTGCGCCCAACACAGCAGGATCAACACTATGGGGCCATTTAGAATCACGAGAGACCCAGCTCCCCTCTTGGCCTGGTGCTTTCCTGAGCTGCAGCCATGAGCCGCCTGGGGATTCTCTCTAGCCTTGCAATGACAGCCACGCTTAGACCGCTCTAAAGCTCACTGCAGCTTAGGGGATCTGCCTGGAGAGGGGAGGGCAGCTGAATGGTACCCACCTCTTCCCTCCTCGGCCCGAATTGGGGTTCAGAGGTGGCAGAAGGGCAGCCAGGGGCCTCCATCCGGGGGAGTGTGCAGGCTTGCCACCAAGGGCAGGTGGAGAGCATGGCGAGGTCTGTGTTGCAGGGATGCTGCAGCGCCACGAACCAAGATGCAGCGGAGGCTTTATGAGGACAGCCTGGTCCGACAGGTGTTTGGTGTCACCTGAGAACCTCCCAGCCAGTGGCCCAGGGCAGAAGGTGGGAGTGGCCCAAGGGGCAGGAACCCCTTCCTTTCCGATTTCACCTCTCCAACAGGCCCTGCTCTTGTCTTATCAAAGCCAGACAGAATTCGAAAGAGCCAGAGAAAATCTCAAGCATTCTCAGAGACTTCCCTGTGGTGTCTCTGGCATCAGGCAAGCAGCCCTTTTCCTCCTCTGGGGTTTTCAGCTGGCCCTTGGCTTCCTGATCCACCGGGAGGCACCTAGGCAGCCCACAGGCAATTCTGAGGGTGGGCAACTTTAGGCAGAGTTGCTAGCACACACCATCTTCTGAGCAACTCAGATTCTTAAGGGAGGTGGCTTCTGCATAGACCCCAGGATCCCCCGGGGTATCTTCAGAATCTAACCTTCCATTTGCAAGAAATGCACAAAGTGATGCTGCCAAGTTGAAAATACAAGGAAAGTAGCAGCCAGGCTGAATTCCAGCAAAGGCAGCTCTGGAGACAAGAAGGGGATGGCCCGGGTTTGCTGTTGGGGGCCAGATGATCCCTGAAGGTACAAGACCCAGTTTAAAAAAAAACTAACTAGAAGAGTCTTCAAGACTTGGGAAAGAGCTCAATACCTCTGCGAGGTGGGCCCAGCCTCGAGGCGAGGGTTCCAAGAAGCCATGGGTTAAGGAGGCTGCCTTTCCTGGCTGGACCCCCTCCAAGCATCCTGGGCTGAAAGCACCAGAAACGCCAGCCAGCTCTTGCCGCAAGACTGAAACTGGAGCCCGGGTTTCCAATTGCCTTCACTGAACAGACCAGCCGGAACAAAACTTTTGTCTTTTCAAGCCTTGGGAAGGGGCCAACCCTTGTGGTCAGAAGGAAGTGGAGTCATCTGGGACCCGGGTGGGGGTCTGCGTGGAGACCTGCGAGTTGCATGCTCTAGAAGGATCCTCAGACCGGGTGCTGCACCACTGTTGTTTGGCTCGCTGCCTGCCTCTGCTTTGCCTCCTGGGATCCTGCCTGGCTACTTCAGGGCTCAGGTGCTTCCCTTCCGGGCAGCCAAATGCCCAACAACATGGACAGGAGAGTTTTGGGGCACCTGTGCTCTGCTCTCTCATGCCCACTCTGGAGTGGCGCCTGGCCACTTCAGAGCCTGGAAGGGAGCATCACCTACCAGGGAGCCCTGCCGGCAGCAGCCGGGGACTAGTGTGAGATCCTGACTTGTAGTTCCAGGCCTTGGCCAGGGCACTCTCGCCTGCCTGCCTGCCTGCCTGCCTGCCTGCACAAGGGGAGCAGAGCTGATGGGATGCTCGGCAAGGACAAAGCACCAACAAGGCCGGCCACAGCATGTCAGTCAGTATCCGGCTGCCCCGGGGAGCCCACTTGGCCCTGGCTCAGAGGAAAAGGACAAAGACGGCATCATCAGTTCCTTCCTGGGAGAAGGAAGGGGGGGGGGGAGCAGCCACAACACCCAGAAGCTTCGTGGCCAAAGCAGCCGTTTGGGACGGCGGTCCGGGGACGGGGCAGGTTTGGGAGGCCGGCGGTGCCCCTCGCCTCCCCATCCCCTCCGGCCATACCCCGGCGGGACGTCTCTCGGGAGCCGGCGGCGGAGCTCCCCGCGCGCTCCTCGCCAGACGCCTCCTCCGCCCGCCCGCTAGTCCCCCACTCACCATAGCCGAACGGCGCCGCGTCCGGCGGCCTCAGGGCGCAGCTGCAGCCCGGGCGCCGCCGCGGACAGCACGGCGGAGCAGTCGCGCCATGCAAGGAGCCGGACTGGAGCCGCCCCTCGCCGGGGCCTTGGAGCGGGGCCGAGAGGGCGGCTCCGCGCGGCGCTCCTCCCGCTGCCCGGCCCGCCCAGCCCAGCCCCTACAAGGAAGGTTCGGCGTGGCCTCCCCGCGCCTCCCGACCAGAGCCCCGCCACAGCTTTGCCAGCTGGGCCGGCCGGCTCGGGGGACGGGACGGGTTGCACGACCCGGCGAAGCCCGGAGCAGCCGCGGGACTCCCACCGGTGGCTGCTGAGTTCGCGGCGTGGGTGGCCTTCCGGCCACCGCAGCCGAAGGCCGCCGGCCGCCCACCAGGACCGGGCCGGCACCCCCTGCCCGCCTCCCTACCCCCGGCAGAGCGGGCTGCACAGCTGGACTGCTAGCCGAGGGACGGCGAGCGGCAGCGGCCCTTAGCGGTCGCGGGCGAAACAGGCTGAGCTGCCCCTTCGGGGCCCAGAAGTGCTCGGGAGCAGTGTGAGAGGAACCGGGGTCCCCTCCCCCGTTGTCTCAGCATCCCCTTCTCCGGGGCAGGCCGGTGCCAGCGGCATCTCCACCGGGGAGCTCCTAGCCGCCGCCGGGCTTGCTCGGCGCTTTCCTGGCGGGGTCCCCAGGAAAGCGCCGAGCAAGCCCGGCGGCGGCTAGGAGCTCCCCGGTGGAGATGCCGCTGGCACCGGCCTGCCCCGGAGAAGGGGAGGGGCAGCCGAGTCTTTTATTGGAGGCGAATCTGCGGGAAGTACCGGAATTTGCGGGGGGAGGGCGTTCCTCCTCTTGCTTCCTCTGCAGCTTTTTGGCGGGCGCCGCTGGGGGGTCCTGGCTCTGCCTCGCGGGTCTTGGCCGCGCTGCGCCCTATAAATAAGTTCCTTTTCTCCTCTCCCTCCAGGAGGCCCTCGCTTTGTGGAGAATGAGATGGGGGTTGCCATAGCGACAGCGTCCTGGCAACCGCTCGCCGCGCTTTGCTCCTTTCTCCCTCCGCCCTCCTTCCTCCAGGACGCTGGCAGAGGCCCCACCCGCAAAGAGGCGAGAGGGCAGGTGCACCTCGACGGCGCGGCCATGCCAGCCTCGTGGGACGTCTCTGGCATTCCTGCACATCTGGAAGAGGGCACAGGAGGCCGCCCGATGCTTAGGCAAAGGTCTGGGGCAGCCAGGCCCTGCCGCCCCCAGGTAAGAAGGGGTTTGGACGGGGCACTTTCTTCCCTCTATCTGGAAATTGGGGGGGGCACCGGGGCTATTCTGGTCCTGCCAGCCACCCTGCTTCTTCAGGTGAGCAGGCATCAGTTGCCCGTGCCCAGAATAAACCGGGGGGGGGAGGAGAGAATGGGGGAAGCTTTTGCTCTGGGGTTGGGCAGAGACGCAGCAGCCCCCCTCCCTCTGGTGATGCCTTTTCCTCTGGGCACTCAAGTTTGAGGTGTTGGGAAACGCATCATGTGGGGCTCTGGATGCAGATGTGGCATGTGGTGCTGTGAGTTGCTGAGCTGTGGTGGGGGGGAAGATCTTCTTGGGGAGAAACAAAGGCCCATCTTCTTTCTGCATTATTGGCCCTAAAATGGGAGGGGGGGCAAGTCTTCCCAGCGGCATCAGACCAGTGCAGGTCCCTGGAGAAACAGAGGCAGGAATCATGAGGAGGCTGGGGGGGGGGAGCTGAAGAAGGGAGTTCCGGAATTTGGTACTTTCGGACAATTTCTCCATTTTCAGCTCATTGGTTGTTGCAAAGGGTGTTTGTGTGGGGGTCATACAAAGTCACCTTTTCAGGCTAGAAATGCACATCTTGGTGCTTGAAGGAAAATATCCCAGTGCACCCCTCCCATCCCCCAGTGAATAGGGAGACTCTTGCAGTATGCCGCCCACTGGCTTGATCTGCTTGAATCCCACTTGGGAGCCTTTGGGACACCCTGAGCTGAGCCACTGCCCACTCGCCACCCTGGGAGGGACTTTTCTGGAGACCAGGAGGGGGAGGGAACTTTGCTGCCCTCCCAGAGCAGGCAAGGAGACTGGTCATCCTTCCTGCTGTGCTGGTCCAGCCAAATGGGAGACCACCCAGCTGGCAGACAGGCAGGCAATGGGGGAGACCCTCAAATGGGGGTGTTTCCAAGGTTGTCCTGGAGACCCTCCTGGGCTTTTCGGATGTGCCTCTCCTGCCCTCTAGCCCTGCCCGCTTTGCTTTAGAGGCAGCCTGGGAAGATGCACTCCAAGCGTCCTATCCAGACAAGCCTTTAATGGGGGCATTTTAACAACTGCTCTATCAGCGCCATTAATTAAGTGCTGCTGCTGCTTTAATAGATGCACCCCCAAAGAGCAATGAGGAAAGCAGCAAAAACAGAGGAAGCACCAGCAACCCTCAGGGCCAAAAGAGCTGCTAAAAAGGGCACCCCAGGAAGCCCCTCCCCCCCATTGGACTTTTAATTTCCACAGTCCCAGCAGCTCAGAAGTCTTTCATCATTCCAGGCGGCTCAGGAATATTCCATAGCGCCCTGCTTTCTCCCACCAACCTCTGGTGGGTGCTCCCCCCTCCCAGCCTTCAGCATCGTGTTGGAGACTTGGGATGGGTTGGGAAGGCCTGAGCCCACCAGGCAAGGCCTTCATGCCTCTCTTTCCCCAAAAGGCGTAAATCCCTGGAAAGAGAAGATGGCCCAGAGGAGCCCAAACTTCTCCACCCTCGGACCAACTGAAAGGTACCCTGAGACTCCCAAGGAGGGGAGGGGGGTGAGAATGGGGTTTCTGGGGGGGGGTCCTGTCCAGCCTCAACTGAGGATTTCCTGGCTGGGCTGAGCTGCTCATCTTCTGGGGAGCTCCTGGGAGCAGCTGCTGCTTCCAGGCCCTGTTCCTGGCCCCCTGCCGCCCCACTCCTGGCCTGGGTCGGAGGGCAGGCCCAGAAGAGGTCCAGCACCTGCCAAGCCATAGCAGAGACTGGCCAGACCAGGGAGAGAGGGGGGTCTGGCAGACCAGGAGGCGGCTGGTCAGGCCCACTGCTGCTGCTGCCCCTCGACTGCTCCCTCCTTCAGACGGATCCGGAACTTCCCGCTGCACAGCCAGGCCCTGACAGCGGTTCCGCTGGGCTCGGCCCGCCTGATGGACCAGCTGGAGGACCGAATCCTCAGCCATGAGAAGACCACGGCAGCCCTGGTGGAGCATGCCTTCCGCATCAAGGAGGACATTGTCTCCACGCTGCACCGGATGCAGAACAAGGGTGGCGGGGACCGGCTAGCCAGGCAGCTGCTGGAGGAGCATATCCGCAACATCACTGCCATCGTCCGGCAGCTGAATCGGGACATCGAGGTCAGTGGTGGCTCCTGGCGGCCTCGGGGGCTCCCAGACATCTAGGGGAGCCAGGCCAGGTCAGGGGGCTCCCACTGAGGGGTGGTTGCTTGGAGAAAAGAAGTGGCTGCTCCAGATACCACCTGCTTGCTCAGCTGACGGCCACAGAACAGTCACATCTCACACAGCCAAATTGTTCACAGGACAGCAAGGGCCATCTTCCCTTTTCCGCCCTCGCCCACCCTGAGTTCCTCAACCGCAGCAGTTTTAAGGCCTGCGGACTTCCAAAATTCCCCAAGGTTGAGAAATGTTGGTTGTGCTAGAGAAGCGCCAGGTTGGGATGCAAAGGCCTCGCCTCTCAGTACCTGCTTCTGCTGGGGCCAGATCCTCCCCCCCCCCATATCTTTCCCCTCACAGCTGGCGTTGAGGGATAGACTGCTCCTGGCCACGCTGCCCTTTTGGCTTTCTGCTCTCAGGCAGTCTTCCCTCCATCCCTTTTTGGAGATGGCTGTGGGATATGAAGTGGGGCCTATGGCGGCAGGAAGCACCAGCAGCTCCCCATTCCCCTTCCCCATCCCAGGGACTGTGGGGGATTCATTCTCGCATTTCCTGCCCTTGTCAGGCTCTGCAGGAGCAGATCCGGGTCAGGGATAACCTGAGTTACGGAACAAACTCGACCTTGAAGAGCCTGGAGATGCGGCAGCTGTCTGGGCTGGGAGACCTTCGTGGACGGGTTTCCAGGTGAGACCCCCCCCAAAAAGACTTGGAGCCGGGCTCTCTTCTGAACCTGAGAATGAGGAGGGGCTGGAGAAGAAGGCAGCGAATTTTGGGAACTATAGTCCTAACCCGTGAAGTTAAGAAGGTGTGCAGAGGATCAGAGCCTCTGTGAGCAGCCTGGGGCCCCGGAGATAGGAGCAGCCAGCCTGGGGCCCAGCTCTGGCTGTGCACTGACACAGAGCAGTTTCTTCCGGCCATCAGCCACAAACTCAATTCGAAAGAAGAATGTATCTTTGACTCTGCAGTTGTCCTTTTGAGCACCAAAAAGGGGCCGCTGGCACTTGCCCTTCCATGCTTGTGGCTCCTATCAGTTCACATCAACCATACCCTGGCAAGAGTGTGTGATGAGGGGGGCTGCTGGGGGGGGTGTTCCCCTGGCTTCAGACTCTTCTGCTCTGGGGCCCTCCCCTCCCTCCCAGCCTGCAACTATGGGACAATTTCCTGCCATGTGGACTGAGGAGCTTATTTGGGGAAACACTTTGCTGGCATCCACCCTCCTCTGGCTTTCAGTCCAAGGTGGACTGGCTTCTCCTTAACCTGATGCAATTTTGCTCAGTTGCTGCCAAGATCACCGACTCAGCCTTTCCCCTGAACCCCCACGCCTGGGCCTGTTGCTGCCTGGGCTCCCTTTCCTGTTTCTCTCCTGCCTTGCTCGGGAGGAAGGGCAGCACGAGGAGCCCATCTGCTTGATAGAGCTAAAGCGATCAGCCGAAGGGAGGAGCTCCTCCTCGGCCTTTTCCGCCAGCCACTCTCCCTTCTGTCCATCCCAGGTGCGACGCAGGGCTGGCCAGAGTCTCCGCTGAGCATAAAGTCACCTACGAGAGACTTCAGAGCCTCAGTAAAGAGCAGCAAGCAACAAAATTGGTCCTGGAGTCCAAAGTCAAAGAGACAGAAATACAAGTAAGGGGCTTGAAAGGGCGGGTCGCCCCTCCTCTCTCCGGGCCCTGCATTGTCCATAGAAGCGCCAGGGAAATTGGGAGTCCTTCAAGCAGGGCGCCAGCACAGATCAGGCCCACCAGGGCCGTCAGGCATCGGCCCAGAGCCGGCTCTGGCTTCAGCCATCCTGAATTTCCAGGGGTTTCCCAGAAGGGCCCTGGGCTTCCACCAGGAAGACGCGTCTACACCCCAGAAACAGGAGCAGGCCCGCTGCAGCCTTTTTCATCTGAAACTGGCTCTGGTCTGGGTCCCCCGAAGGCCCCTGGCTCTCATCTGCAACCTCCTAGTCTGCTGGCATGGGGGGGGGGTGCTCTTCCTTAGAGAAGCTGGGGCGGGGGGGGGTTGAATCAGAAGCTCAATGAAGGAAGGTTGAATCAGCTTCAGAGCACATCTGGGCCCAGTTCGGATCATTTGCGTGGCTTTGGGGGGGGGAGGCTGGACCCCAAACCCCTCCTTCAGTTCTCTCTCTTGGCTGAGCCTTCTCTGGTTGGAAAGCTTCGGTTCTGAGATGGCTTCAGTTGCCATGGGAAACGCAGTAGCTGCCTGGCTGCGGCATTGTTATTACTGGATAAAACAGTTGTGGGGGGGTGTGATGGGCTTATTTATCTTGCTAACTGAGCAAAGGAGGGGAGGGGGTTGCCATTTTAGACAAACACAGCAGAGCTCAGAAGCCCTCTGGGTCCATTCTGGGTTGGCAGCCGGTCACTCCTCCATGCCTCTTCCAAGACCGCTCCTGGCCTGGCCTGCCAAAGCCCGCTCACCATCTGGAAAAACGGGGGCCAGAGCATCACTCCATAAGAATGCATGAAATCATTTCTCCCCGCATTAGTCAGCAGCCCCTGGTCCGCATGAGTCAGTGGGGACGGGGATCACATGCCGATTTGCCCTTCTGTGGCTTCCCCTTGTCAGGAAAAAGGCTGTCGAACCTCTGATGAAGGACGGAGGGCACTCCTGGCATCTATTTTTGGAATCTTCCCAGTTCAGATTCGGTGGAGGTTACCTTGGGGCTGGTGAGGGAGGCTTCTCCCGGATCCCCCCATCCCTCTAGGGCAGCCTCTGCTGAGAGAAGCCCTGGGCAAGGTTGGGGCGGGGCAGGCAGTGAGATGGCAGGTCGTCAATGCTTCCCTCTCCTTGTTCTTCTGGGGCTCTAGCAGAGAGCGAGCAAGAAGGACCGATGCCCTGCTGCAGGTGGGCACAGGAGGAGCCCTCCCGTCCCCATGCCACCGAGGCATTGGCAGGCCTCTCCATCCTGGCTGTGGGTCATGGGACCTGGAGCTGCTAGCTCGAGAAAAACGCCCTTCCTTTGCCGGCAGGGGTTTTTCTCAGAAGCAAAGCCGTGCCCTCCTGGCAGAGAAGAGACCACACCACCAAATGCTGCCCCCCCCCCCATGGAAACAGTCCCTACAGTGTGGATGGCTTAAAAAGCAACCCTTTTCAAAATGGTTTGGAGAATCTAGGGCTTTTCCCCCTAGCTTGGGTCAGGTCCAGCCAGCCGAGAGTTGTCAACTTCTTTGCAAACCGGAATTACGTGTGGAAGAAGCCATAATTTGACTCTCCCTCCCTGCCAGATTTCCCATCTTTTGAGCAGAATCGAACAATCTGTGATGCAACAAGACGCAAAGCTCAAGCTGGCCTACAAAGAGAGCAATCAACAGCTCCATCTTCTGGAGGCCAAGTAGGTTCCCCCCCCCCCCAAGGATCCAGCCAGTTTTCCCCACCAGTTATTGTAGGGCTACACCCTGCGCTGCCCTGGAAGGTGCCCTTAAAGGTCTGCTGGGGGAGGAAATGCCCTTCCGCTCAGAGCCATTTCCCACCTACCCAAGAGTTTTGTCTTAACTGTGCGAAAGGCCCGAGCCATCTCTCGCTGCCGATATTTGGGGGGTGGCTGATTCTTTCTGCCCCACCAGGCTGCAGGATGCCGTCGACCACCTCACCAGCCAGATCTCCTCTGCCCGCAGCCAGATGGAGCAGGAGCAGGGGCGCTTCGAGAAGAAGTTCCTGGAGAAGATAGACCACCTTTTCCTTGCCGTCAAGGAGAAAAGTGTACGTTTCTGATCTTGGGGGGGGGGGGAGGCTGAAAAGCATCCCCAGTCCTGGAGCGAGAGAAAGAGCTGCACACCACACACACAGGAAGCCAGGTGGCAAACTTATTTTAACCAAGGTTTGTGGGGAAGGCCTCACTCCGTAGACCGAAATGTAAACACATCTCCTTAGGCCAGGGGTAAGCAACCCAAAACACTCAAAGAGCCACTTGGACTCGTTTCCCATCGAAAACAAAACGCTGGGATCCTCAAAACCCTTTTGATATCTAAAATGAAGATAACACTGCATATATCCTGTTTTACCTTGTGTGTGTGTGTGTGTGAGAGAGAGAGAGAGAGTGAGTGAGTGTATACAGGGCTTTTTTTTTGTCATAGGATGCCCAGAACAGAGTTCCGGTACCTTTTTTGGATGGAACCTTGTAGGATAGGCAAGGTGGGTTGTATGACGTGTGAGTTCCGGCACCTTTTTTTTTATATACAAAAAGAGCATTGTATATATAAAATAAAGGTAAAAAAGGATATATGCAGTGTTATCTTCATTTTAGATGTCAAAAGGGTCTCTATCTGTCTCTCTCTCTTTCCTCTCTCTCTCTTTCCCTCTTTCTCTTTCCTCTCTTCTTCTCTTTCATCTCCCCCTCTCTTTCTCTCTCTTTCCCTTTCCTCTCTCTCCTCTTTCTTTCCTATCTCTCTTTCTCTTTCCTCTGTCCCTCTTTCCTCTTTCTCTCTTTCCTCTCTCTTTTTCTTTCCTCTTCCTCTCCCTCTCTCTTTCCTCTCTCTCGCTCTTTCCTCTCCCTCTCTTTCTTCTCTTTTTCTCTCTTTCCTCTCCCCCTCTCTTTCTCTTTCCTCTCTCTCTTTCTTTCCTCTCCCTCTTTTTCTCTCCCTTTCTCACCCTCTCTCTTTCCTCTTTCTCTTTTTCTCTTTCCTCTCTCTTTCCTCTCTCTCTCTCTCTCTCTCTCTCTCTCTCTCTCTCTCTCTCTCCACGTGAGAAGAAAGAGAACGAAAGATAGACGGCGCCGAAGGGGCAGGGAGGGGGAGCAGGATGGGAGGCTGGGGGTCCCTGCCACCGCCGGCCCGGCTGCCACCCCTGCTGCGTCCTCGGCCATTTCGCCATCACAAGAGGAGGGCGCCAAGGGACACTGCTTTCCCTGCAGCGCAGGTGCACCATGGGCAGCCATGCCAGCAACGGGGAGTGCCGCCGTGGAGACGGGGGGGGGGGTCCCGACCCGCTGCTGGCGTTGCACCCAAGGTCTCCTCCTGCAGCACCGAGGGCGGCGGTGGCAGCAGAGGCTCCCTGAAAGCGGCCGAGGAAGGCGCCACCGATGGGGCTGAGGTGGGGCCGGGTGGTGGAGAGCCCCACCGGTGGCTGCACGGCGTCTCTTGGCCGCCCTCCCGCTGCCGCCACCTCTGCCTGTCGTGCTGGCGAAGGGGTGTGGCTGTCCAGCTGCCGCCTCTCTGACCTCGCTCAGTGCGACGGGCAGAGGCGGCAGCGGGGCAGCGGGAGGACGGCGAAGGGGCATGGCTGCCTGGCCGCCACTGCCTCTCCAGCCTCGCCCAGCACGATAGGCAGAGGCGGTGACGGCAGTGGGAGGACGGCCAAGAGGCGCCATGCAGCAGGTGGGGAAAGAGCTGGGCAGGCGCCGCGGGGGAAATCTCTCGAAAGAGGCCATGGAGATCCGCTGCCCGCAAGATGGCCGAAAGGCACGGGCAGAGAGGGGAAGCTACCGAGACCCCCGGCGACCCCCCAGGACTAATAGAGGCGGTGGTGGAGCAGGGCGAGGGGAGACCCGCCGAGCAGGAAAGAGGCATCCTGAGACTGGCCACCCGCGGCTCCTTACCCAGGTTCTACCACCTTTCCAGCAATCCTCCTGGCTCTTCCTCTGCTGCCACCACGTGCAATCTGAAGAAGGAAAGAAGTTCAACCAATCAATTCAAACTTTGTGAGAAGTTTGAATTGATTGGTTGAACTTTTTTAGTCCTACTTTTTTTTTCAGACTGAGGACAGGGAACCGCAGGAGACGGCTGAAAGAGCCGCATGCGGCTCCGGAGCCGTGGGTTGCCGACCCGTGTCTTAGGCTGACTGATTGCAGCTCCTTCATTCTTGCTGACTTGAGGTTCCCCTCGGAGCCGTTTCCCCTGGGGAGAAGCCCCCCTCTGCCCAGGGGAGGCAAGCGCTCCTGGGGCTCAGAAGACCCTCAACACAGGGCAGCTGGACGATAGTTGTTTCTCTCCCTGGCCACAGGAAGTGGACAGCAGGGCTCTGGAGATGCAACTGAGCGAGATCCACAGGAAGCTGCAGAAAATGGAAGTCGGGCAGAAATGTTCAGCCCAGGAACCGGAGGCCAAGCAGGCCGAGGACAGGATGAGCGTTCAGCTCAGCAAACTCCAGTCCGATTTCACTGAGGACATCAAGGAAGTCAAGGCAGAGGTTAGCGCTGGTAAGGTGATCTGGGGGACACCCAGCCAGCAACAGGTGTCCGGCAGGACTCTTGGGGGAGGGGGTGGCAGAGGGTAAGGGGGCAGGATCCCCCTATGTTGCCAGGGCATCTCCCACTGCCTGCCTCCCTGCCTCCCTCCCTCCTTCCTTCTGGTAGTTTCTGTATGGGCAAAGGGGGGGAATCCTCTGGGAAAAGGGTGGGCCAGCTGTCCCTATTCCCCCCTGCCAGGACTCAGCACCATCTATGAGAGCATCGGATCCCTGCAGCAGGTCCTGGAATCGAAAATGAAACTGGACAAGGAGGAGCTGCAGAAGCAGATCCAGCAGATGAAGTGAGGGGCCTGGAGCTTGCAGGTCCAGCAGCCAGGGAGCAAACCGCCCTCCTCCCTTTGCTCCAACGGGATGGACTCTTACAGTCTGGGCCGAGCGGCTGTGGGTCATTTAGTGTAAATAAGAAATGCTGGGCGTGGCCAGACAAGCCTGCCCTTTGGAAGGGGAGCCGGACAGGACGATGGCCATGCCCTACTGGATCTCAGCTCCCACCCTGGACTTTGGAATTGGGCTTCCTCCAATCAAGGGGACACCCTGCATTGCCATAAATGTCGGCGTGCCAAAAGATCTGGCCTCCTGAGCTGATGGAAGAGACTCCAGAATCCAGCTTGCTTCGCTTGAGCAAGACTGAGGTGGTTTGCGAGTGGCAAGCGGGTACCAGCCAGGCCAGGAAGTGCCACCCACCGCAGCCTCCCCTGGGCCAGATTTTTGCCCTGCGGCTAGTGGCTCTCCGCACTTGACTGCTCCTTCGCCTTTCACCCCAACACCTGCCAGCCTTGAAGGTCTTAGGAGTGGGTGCAAGAATGTCTCTTTGGGGAGGCTAGCTGTCGCCCACTTGCACTTCCACATGGTCTGTGAACCCCACTCTTGCTCGGCGCCTCTCCCTACCGCTTCCCCCCAATTCCCCTACGTTTTGATCTTCTGAACGCCTCTGCATATTTCCTCTTCCAGCCCAGGTGCCCTCTGCCAGCCTCGTGCCCTCTGCCTCTGGCTCCAGTGCCACTGGCTTCCCTGCAGCTCTCGTGCCAGCCCAGCCAGCATCCCCGTCCTCAGATGCCCTCCCTCCCCTTCATAGGCGTCTCAGCTGATCCCTGCCTCCCAGCTCAGTGGGAGGAGGAGGCCGGTCTCTTCCCAAGCAGGACCTGCATTGCAGGTATGGCCAAGGCCTCCAGCCATGCCGGCCACAAGCCTGACCCCCCCAAAGGCAGCCTCCCCTGCCCCAGCCAGAACGTGACCCTGCCGTCCGCATCACCAGGCTGAGAGAGTCTCCTCCTCTCAGCTGTCCAGAGGACCTCCTGCCCTCCTCCGCTTCAAGGATCCAGCCAGCCACAGGTACTGGGACCCCCTTAAATGGCTAAACTCTCTTGGGTTGAAATGCCCAGGCTCTCGCCCAGCCCCATGGGGCCTTTGGGGGTCCCACTGACCGGGACACAGGAAGGAAGGCAAACAGAGGGTTTTTCCTTCCGAATGCCGTGAGGCTTGGACCTCTCCCCAAAATGGCTTGTCCGGGGGTTTCTCTACAGGAAACGGTTGGCTCTGCCTTCACCTGGAGCCCATAGGTTTTTTGTACAAATCTTTAAGCAAAGTGGCATTTTCACAAATCACACTCCTCACTTCCTTACACCTCTTTCTCAGTGCATGTTCTGTCAAGGTAACATTTTGGCTTTATAACATCTGATGGTGGAGAATCTTGCTATGTTTTTCCTCAGAATGTTGACCTCATGCAGATATGAGCTAAGTGGGTAAAATGTAGACTATTGTAATGGAAAGTCTGCACCAGAACTAGATCCAGTCAGTGACATTTCAGCCCCTTCTCCAAATGTTTACCTGGGGTGGGGGCATTGAAGAAATAGAGGTTTAACCCTTTCCATAAAAGCAAAATGTTTAGCTTGGATTCCATCTGTTTCCCGCATTATAAGGGCTGTCCTCGCGTTGCCTTGGGCAGCCAGCCCTAATCAGGCCTACATGGCTGGGGACATATTCTGACATTCAAGCATGCTTGTTTAATTGGATTTCCTCTAGAAGGCCCTGGCTCCAATACAATGGCTATGAATCCATGCAAATGCGGTGGCTCACCTAAGGGGAGGAGCGTTGCTCAAGTGTGCTTCTCATTTCATTGCAGAGATGCGGCAGCGCTGGCCAGCCCCCAAGACCCCATTCCTTGCGCACGCTGATTGCCCGTGGAGGATGTGACCGAAGCCCCTTCCTCGCAACCAAAGATTGATCAGGAAGAATGTCCCCCTTATCCCCACTTGGCCAACTGTCTGGGGAATCCTCCCTGCCCACATCTGTTTGTGAGCCGACAGCCTGGGCAGTCCTCTGGCCAGCGAATCTCCCTTTCTCTGGCATTGCTTGGGAGGGGGAATGGTCATCTGGGAATGGATGCAGGGATGGGGAGGGAAAGCTGGGGCTCGGTCAGCCTTGGGGCAAACCTGCTGGGCCTTCCCAGCATCCTCTCCTGTTGGGGGGGGGGGGGGATAGTTGCATTTTGGCCTTTCCAGGGCATGCCAAGCCTCAGGAGAATACCATCTGTGATGAGAAGGTGGGCACCCCTTCCTTCCTTCTACTGCCAGCCTGGGAAGCAGACGGTGTGGCTGGGCTCCAGGCTGGGAGCCTTGCAGGAGGCCCTGGGTAGCCCAGGGAGGGCCCTGGGCAGCCTCTGTTCTGGCTTGCTCAAGGGACTGGCTGGCTGAGGAGGTGGCTGACAGCATTAGCTGGGCATCACGCTGTATCTTTCCTCTGTTGGAAAGGCAAATTAAAAAAAAAAAAATCTGAATTCATCCACAATAATCACGATGAGTAAATTTCTCCAGGTATTTCTTAAATGTCTTTTTGAGAACAAATACATGTCTACATTTATGTAAATTTTGGCTGCTTAAGAGACCCACAAGATTGGCAAAACGCCCAGCAGACTTTTATAAATAAGGGCTCAACAACTGCTTGATAAGTGTAAAATTTTTAATAGTGAAAAGGAAATATTGGGGAGGGGGGATAGCGATATTTATAGTTCTCAAGAGTGTTTTGCTGTAAACCTCCGTGCAATTCCCCAGTGCTGCTGTGTATAACCGCCAGTGGATTCCCCGGCCGGGGCGTTTGGTCTGAACTCTGTTGGAAGAATTTTTTAAGCTCTGAATAAAAGTGAACGTTTAACGCTCCGAACCCGCCGTTCTTAACGCCACCGCCGGGGCTTCTCCGAGGCGAGGGCGCCCCTGAGCCCGTGCAGAGGCCGGCAGCGGCGCGGGGCGCTCGGCGGCTCCTCCTCGCGGGTCTGAGCCGGAAGGGCTGGAGCGGGCGGGGCGAGGCGGCGGCGGCGGGCGCGATGCCGGCGGAGGAGGAGGCGGCGGGCGGCCCGCGGCTGTGCGGGTATCTGCAGAAGCTCTCCGGGAAGGGGCCGTTGCGGGCCTTCCGCAGCCGCTGGTTCGCCTTCGACGCGCGGCGCTGCGCGCTCTGCTACTACAAGGGCCCGCGGGAGGCGCAGCCGCTGGGCCGCCTGGAGCTCGCCCGGGCTGCCTTCCGCCTCCACGACCCGCCCGCGCCCGGCCCGGGCCCAGGACAGCAGCCGCAGCCGGCCGAGGAGGAGCGGCGCGCGGAGGAGAACGGCGCGCCCGGCACCGCCTTCGAGGTGCGCGGCCCCGGCGGCGACGTGGCCGTCCTGCGGGTGAGCGGCGGGGCGGCAGGGAAGGAACCAGCTCCTCCGCAGGGCCTGGCCGGCCGGGCTGCCGGAAACAGAGCGCCGCCTTTCTGGGGGCGTCGAGGCGGCAACTCCGCTGGGCAGCCGGGCCGCTTGGCGGGCCTCCCGCGGCTCCTGCCCGGCGTCCTTTCTGTGGCCGGGGGGGCGGCGCCCGCGCCCCGCAGAGCGAGCCCGGGGTCTTCGGGCCTTCCCGGGCGGGGATTGTGGGGGTTTCCCCCGCGCCTTTTGCCCGCGGCCCTCTGCAAATGCCCCCGGCCGGCTCCCACCCGTAGAGCCCGGGCCGGCCCATGGGGGCGGAGGGGCCGGTCAAGGAGTCCAGCCCCGCTCGGCTCCTGCTGCTGGCTCTGGCCTCCCTCGGGCTCCGCGGGACGAGCCCTTCCTCTCGGGAGCCAGAGCGCGGGTGGAGGCCCCGGACTTACTGCCAGTGGGATGTTCGCTCCCCTTCTGCCCGCCCGAGGAACGCGGCCGGCTGTTGAGGGCGGCCTCTTCGTCGGGTTTGCGCAGCCCTCTTGGATGCAGCTGCACGGCAAGACCCGGGCAGGGCAGCCGCTCCGCTCTCTGTCTGGGCCGCTCCGCGGGGGGCCCGGGGCTGATGGGGGCGGAAAGGGCTCAAGCATCAAAGCCGTCCCCCCTCCCGGCCATTCAAAAGGGTTCCCGTCTCACGAGGCCGTCAGCTTCCCGGCTGTCAGCACCTGCCTGCGGCTGCTAGGAGCAACTTGCTGGCCCCGGGAGCTCCGAGATTTCCACTCCAGCAGCAACTGCCTGGTGGCCGTGGGCCTCCTGAAGCCCCAGAGGTCATCCAGGCCACATCCACAATATCAGTTGTGGAAAACGGCCAGAACAATGCAGGTGTCCGAGAGACACCTTGACTCCTTTCCTGGAGCAAAATTCTTTTGCTGAAGTCCCCAGTGCAGCACACATCTTAAAGAGTGGCAGGTGTCCAACAGGGGAAGTAAATCTTCGCCATAACACTGGAAAGCTGTGGCACAATAGCTGAGTGATTGGCCCATGCAGTGGTAGGACCTGTCATGGGTCAGACTAGATGGCCCCTGTGCAAAGCCAGGCGATGACTGCCCTTCTGTGCTGTCTGTGTTTATCCAGCGGATTGGAAAGCTGCCTCTCAGCCAGCTGACAGGCTGCTGTTGCTCTGATCCACTCCTCCTCTTCCTCCTCCTCCTCTTCGAGGTCTGTAATGGCCGGGTTGCCTGCTTCTGTCCACCACAGGCTGCCACGCATCAGGACATGATGTACTGGCTGCAGGAGCTCCAGCAGAAGAGGTGGGAGTATTGCCACAGCCTTGACGCTGCCAAGCGATACAGCCAGACGTCGCCCACCCCTGCCGGGTGCTCCAGGGGACTGGTGGCCAAGGACAGTCCTGGTAAGTGATGCCATCTCTTCCTGGGGCCCCTACAAGTGGACAGTGCAGGAAAATGGCTTGGCAGATGAGGTCACTGCTGCAAGTTCCATGTGGTAGCATGTTGCTTTCATGCTGGCTTCGTGGTCCACATTTGGGAGCCAGATAGGAGGGAGAAAAGGCCTTTCTCAAAGTAAACCATGGAGGCTCCTGTCATGTGGGCCAGGCACTACATGTCGGTCTCAGCCCAGGGATTCCTGCAAAATCAGGTCCAGCTGGTCTTCCCTCCTGGACTACAACTCCCAGCATTCCCAGCCAGTGTTTGTTCACAGAACTGTTCACAAGCCAAAAAAGGCTCTGTGAAAGCCACCTGAGCACATTTTTCCTCCCTGGGTCACAAGAAGTTGCTTTCCTTGATTCGGTGATTTTTTTTTTCTTTTCCTTTTCTCCACAACAGGAAGTATTTATTTAAAACCATTACTTTAAAGATAAAACATATTGGAAATTGTGGTTTGTGTATGTATGCCTGTGCATATCAACACACACAAACAGCCAGCTTTTTGTTTTATTTTTGTTTTGCTGGATTTTTAACTTCAAGAATTATATTCAGCTATTTTTTTAAACTGAATTCTTATACCAAATATTGATTTTTTAAAAAAGATACATGAGACAGTATGTTTTACATGCATATATTCTGTTGAGTATCCACTTGCAACAATAATGTCATTCAAGGTTTCCCCCTTTTTAACAGCCATGTTTTTAAAGAGGTGGGCAGTAAATGCAACTTGCGGCACCCTTGTGAGCCGTAAGAGAACCATTGTTCGATTGGTATTTGCTGGGTTGCTCTGATTAGACGGCTGTTTCTGAGGGTGTGTGTGTGTGTGTGTGTGTGTGTGTCTCCTGTTGTCAGTGCCCCCCCAGCAGGCAGGGGGGAGGCTTGCCTTGCACTTTCCATTCTCGAGGAGCGAAGGGCAAATCCGGCTTGCAGACGTCCCTGCTAGGCCAGAAGAGCCAGAAACCGTCGGTCTCTTCCCTCCGCAAAGCCCTCAAAGCTGCTGCTGCAGCAGAAGAGCCGGGCCTGCCTTTCTGGCTGGCTGTGGTTTCCTCTGGGGAAGCCTGTGCAAAGTTGCAGGAAGTCACTTCAAGGCCCCCCTACCCAGCTTCTCCCCAGTGGGCAGAGAAGCCGAGCCTGGGATGGTCACTGTACGGGCAGACAGGCTGGGGAAAGTCTGGGGGGGAACGGGCAAAGCCTCCGTCAGGGAGCCCCCAGGAAGGAGCCGCCCCTTCCTCCCGGGCCATCTTTGCTGCACCAGAGAGGAACTGTAGCGGTGGCCGCACTGCTCTCCAGGGCAGAAGGCATCGACCTTTGCACGGGACCGGTAGCAGCGGGAAGGGCTTTGCCCAACTGGGCGTGTGCTGCCAATGCTGCTCCTATGGGGAGCTTGGAGCAGAGAGGAAGTATGACTGAGGCGGCTGATGAGTGCACCTCCTGCGTTTCCTGCGACGCTCCTCCAAGAGCCAAGGGATCAGCAGGCTTGATTGCTCCCCTCAAGGCCACCGTCACGCCGCGCCTCTTGTGACTGTTTCCTGCAAGCCTCTGGGTGGAAGTCGGTTGGCAGATAACCGGTGGGGTTGCTCTTCTTTAGATTGCACGGTGTTGTCGGCAAATGCTTCAGCGGAGAACGCCCGCAACATCCTTGCCGTTGAGATTGCACCCACGGAACTGGTGGGGGAGCAAGCCGCCTGCCTGCCTGCCCCGGGCCACCCCGGCCCCATCAACTTCTCCTTGAGGCAGCTGGGCACCGAGATCAGGTGAGTCCTGGCAAAAGCCGGCTGGGGAGCTCGCTCGGCCGTGACTGCTGCTCTTTTCCGGGGGCTAGTTTGGATTTAAGGCTGGCGGTGCTGAAGCGAGCGGACCTTTGGAAGTGGCTTCAGGCAGCCAGATCCCCCCAGCTGATGCAGCGTGTTCTGAACTCGCTCCCCTGGAGAAGACCTGTGAAACGCAAGGATGGCTCTGTTATGCTATCGCCCTCAAAGCGCCTCACTGGACAGCAGCCCCCCCCATCCAGAAGACAGTGAGAAGGAAGGGCCACCACTCAACCAGACGTTCAAAAAGTGGCCAAGTGACCTTTTCGGAAAATAAGCGTGGCATGGACGTAGGGGGCCTCTGGCAGGCGAGCTGCTCCCACTTGAGCTCTCAGCCATCAAAAGCCTCTGAAATGGCTACCCCCAAATCCAGCCACTTGGCCAGAGGCTCCCTTGTTGCACCTTTACAAAAGCCCCCAATTCCCTTCCCCCAATCCCCGTTGGCTCTGCACTTGCTCTGCCCCGCCGCTGCTGCCCGGCTTCCAACCGGCTACAGCTCGGGAAGGGGGGCAGGTAGGCAGCCTGCCAGGTGGCCTGGGAGGGTCTGAGAAAGGATCAGGCCCTCATGGCCAACATTCGTAAGTCAGATTCTACTTCCCGTGTGAGACTTGAGTTCCTCCTTGCGCTTTAGAAAGACCGGCCCTGCCCCCGGGCCTCCCCAGTTTCTGCCTGGAAAAGTAGCCCAGCCGTCTGCGGCCACAGTTGCTGCAGGCGCCCAGCAAATGGACAGCAGCTGCAAAGCGAGAGGCGTTTCCTACCCCCCCCCCCCTTTTTGTACTTTCCCTGTCAGGCATCTGCCTGCCACGAGCTTCCCTGTTTTGCTGATCCTTCTCACAACCTGCCCGGCAGTAAACCCTTCTGTGGGGTAAAGGAAGGCTGGATTTTGCAACTGGGCCTTCCTCGTGGCTTGGGGCAGCCACGTTGAACCCGCTTTCTCTTGGGAAGGACAGAGAACGTGGGACAAAGGGGGGTCTGGGGAACTCTCCCTTGGAACAGAGAAATCTGGAAATGCCCTTCTGCTTCAGTGGGAAAGTGTGTGGTTTCTCAGTGTGATAGAAATCGAACTGCTTTGGAGCAAGGCAGGAAAAGTCACCGGCTGGCCAGAGCCGGCATTTGTCCTTTTAAAAGCCCTTTTTTTCATTGGGGTCCTTATCTTGGCTTATTTCCTCACCCACCCTCACTGGTGGCAAGTCGAAATTTGACGCCGTGGAAGGCCAGCAGCCGAGTGGCCGCAGCTAGACCATAGACAGCCGGCCATTGGAGGCCCAGGCTTGCACCGTTTCCTGCCTGCTGTTTGTGGTTTAGCCCAGAGAGGCCGGAGGGTGAACAGCAGATAAATCCAGATGTTCTTGTATTTGACGGTTGGGAAGGAAGAGCAGCAGGGCCGGTGAACTTGAGCGTCTTTCCATGCAGCACTGCCAGAGGGCAAAGGGGTGGAGGGACAATGTCCTGTCCTGGACCGCTTTTGAGGCCCAAAGAGGGAGGGGGAGGGAGGGCACTCTCTGGGCACGCATGTTCTCCAGCCACAGCCGCTTCACCTCAGATGGCGAGAGGGCCTCTGCTTCAAGGCATGTTTGGCACTGAGGGAAGCCGCTGGGTTCTTGGCTTCTGCAGCTTTGTGAGTTTTATTTTTTTTAAAAAAAATCAGCCAACTTTTCTTTGCCCTCCCAACCATTTTGAACTTCTATACTTTGCAGAAATTCTGTGTCTTCCTTAAGAACCGGAAAAGGAAGTGGGGAAAACCGCAGGAGTGTTTTTTACACAGAAGAATGGGAAATGCTGGACCCCACCCCAAAAGATCTGCAGGAATCAGCGGCTCAGGAAGAAAAACAAAGGCTGGCAGCCGAGACCAGCAAAGGTGCCCACTGCTGTCCATTGCTTCCCCCCCCTTTTCTCCTCTTGCAGAATCATTCTGGCTTTGCAGACTTTGGGGGGGCGCTTTGCTCCCTTTTCTGAGCAGAGATCCCCAAGGGTGGCAGGATCCCAGGTTGGCTTCTGTTCCCTTGGAGTTGTAAGGGTCAGATTGGGGAAGCGGTGGCTGCAACAAGTGACCCCCCATTCTTATTGGCTATTGCATTGGAGACCCTCCAGTTCCCTCCCATCTCTCCTGGGGAGTTTGGGGTCAGTGCTCAGAACAGCAGCCTGGCTCTTAACTTCGATGCCTGGCGTGCTAAGGAGAATGAAGCTTCCCTGTCTCCTTGGAGGGAGGGATGGCTCGGGGGGCTGCTCTCAATTTGTCCAGGGGCTCTCTGGGCTGCTGAACCAGCCAACCTTCTGCCCCCTCGTCTCCCCCCCCCCATGCTGCAGGTGGGACCGGCTCAAGCTTCCCCTTTGACTTTGGCCGCCTCCCGCCCAAGGCCAGGCGTCCCCTGAAGGACAGCATGGCTGCCAGCAAAAGCCGAGGCGGCCAGGAGGCCCCCCCTCGGGAGTGGAGCAGAGGCCAGCCGGCCGCAGAGATGCAACTGAAGCTGCAGAGCCAGCAGGAGGACCTGGAGCAGCTGAAGACGGAGCTGGCCAGCCAGAAGGTAGGCAGGCGTGAAGGTGGGGGCAGTTTTGGCCACCTGCAGTGGTGGGGAAGGACAGGATGGCACCTGGATTGGGGGGGGGCTCACCCACTTGCCCATCATCCAGGCCTGGCTGCCCTCCAGGAAGCCCCCGGCTGGCTCTCGCGCTTCCTTCCTCATTTCCTTCTGGGGCCCGAGGGGCAGGAAAGCCCTTCCGGTCGGGGGGGGGGGGCAGAGGCTCCTTTTCCGCTGCTTATTTCCGCAGCTGCTTCCTGCTCTCAGTACAAACTGCAACAAGGGATTGGCTTCCCCAGCACTGGTTGCAGAGCGTGACGCTGGCTGGAGCTGAGTGGGAGGGAGAAAGGGCGGCTCCAGGACTCTCTGGAGCTAGTTTCCACAGTGAGGACTAGAATCTTGTTCTCCCCACTCCTAGTCTGGAGCCTGAACCACGAGATCACCCGGCTCTCTCTTTAAACAAGCAGCAGTAGCCTTGGAGGAAAAGTGTGGCAGCGGATCCCCAGGATGGGAGGCGGGCCCTAGAAGGGCCGGGTGACCTCTCAGTCTCATGAGAAAGGGACACCCAGGGAGGCGTTTCCAGGAACTGAGGGGGCACTTGGGGTGGAAACAGGAGGTGCTTCTATGCCAGGGGGTGGGGGGACCAGGCGTGTGTGTCCCGGGGTGAGGAGGCTCAGACCAGGCCTCTGCGAATTCCCCTCCCCCCCACCAGCCTTCTTGCTTCCTCCCAGGAACTGGTGCGGCTCCTGCAGCAGACGGTCCGGTCCTCCCAGTACGACCGGTACCTCACGGGGCCCCTCTGCGACGGGAGCGCCAAGGGCCACTTGGAGCTGCTTCACCAGAAAGACCGACAGATTTGGGGCCTCAACCACCAGTTGGAAAAGCTGAATCTGGACAAGGAGCACCTGCAGCAGGAGGTGGCCAGCCTGAAGTCCACGTTAGGGGAGCTGGGCGAGCAGCTGGACATGCTGATGGAGACCATCCAGGCAAAGGACGAGGTGATCATGAAGCTCTCCAGGGAGCTGAGCGAATGCGAGTCGTCCTGGCAAGGCAGAGCACCCCCTGCCGACGCCTCCCCCCCCCTCAGCAAGGAGCAGCAGGAGCTCAGCAAGCTGAAGGTAAGGGTCACGTTTGCCTCCTTGTGGCCTGGGTGACTCGGAGCCTTCGCTGTCCCCCCAGAGCCCACCAACCCATCTGGAGGATGGCATGGATAAGGAGGAGGGTGTGCATCATCAGAGGGAAGAGAAAATGCAGGGCTGATTTAAGCAGCTGCAGCCTATTGGTTTGGCCACTTTCAGCAAGCAGAAGGAAGGCCTTGCGCAGGAGAGATGAAGCCTGAAGCCAAGGCCAGGGGCCAAACCCTTTGCAGTGCCACCTTTCTCCTTCCCTGGGTGGCAGAAGCAGCTGCCCCCCCCCTTCTTTCAAAACACCCCGCCCTGCATGAGTCTCCCAATGCTCTTTGTTGACAGGACAGCCTGCAGGGTTACAAAACCCAGAACAAATTCCTAAATAAGGAGATCCTGGAACTTTCTGCTTTGCGAAGAAATGCCGAGAACAGGGAGAAGGAGCTGATGGCGAAGGTCAGCCAAAGGGGCAGATGATGGTAAAACCTCCCCCACTTTCAGGCCCTCCGAAGGGGTCAGAGCCACTGACAGGTGACCCATTCTGTGGGGGAGAGACCAGAGATTCGCTTCCCAAATTGACCGGTTTTTCTGCCTCCCCAAAAGAGGCTGACTGACCACAGACCATGTTGCTCTCTTTGTGGTGGTTTAGGGGCCGCCACGTTGCTGGGGTAGGGGCAGAGTGGTGCTGGGGTGGAGGCTTCCCTCGGCTTTCAGGTTCAAGCTGTCTGGTGCTGCTTCCCGCCTCAGCCCCCCACTCGGTCTCCCCCACGCAGTACACCAGCCTGGAAGCCCAAATGTGTCAGGTGGAGAGCAGGTACCTGGTGCTGCTGCAAGAGAGGAAGACGCCGGTGTGCTCGGAGGAGCCGAACCCCGACAGCAACCTGGTGGCCCAGCTGCTGGAAGATGCCCTGAAGGTGGACAGCGGTGAGCTGCCCACACAGGCTTACTTCAAGCCCCACATGGTCAGGTGAGCCCTGTCTGACCCTCAGCTTGGAGTCACCCCCTGGGAGTGGCTCAGGGAGGGAGACGTGGGCCCACACAGCGGCTCTCCCCATAGCTCAGCCTTCGGCATGTGAGGATGGCCAGAATGGTTGCTGACCACTCTCAGACATGAATCCTGGGTGCTTCTCAAGCTGGCAGCAGCGCCCTTTCCCGCACCGAATGGGTGGAGCTGAGCTTCACATCTAGCTTTATGCAGCCAAAGGATTGGAATTCCGCCTAACTAACTGGGGTGGACAAGCCTGGTGCCTTTTCTAACCCTGGACGCCAGGGGCGGCTTTGGTGACTTTCCTGGAAGGTTTTTCTGCTTCTGGTGGTTCTGGCAAGTGACCGGCTCCCTCTTCTTTCCAGTGAGTATGACGTGTATGGGTTCCAGACAGTCCCGGAGGACGAGGAGGAGGAGGAGAGGCTGGTGGCGAAGGTGCGGGCTCTGGACCTGAAGTCCTTGTCCCTCACGGAGCACCAGGAGATGTCCACGGGCGTGAAGTGGGAGAACTTCCTGGCTGCCACTGTGAACAGGGAGATGGTCCGCTCAGTGGAGCTGAAGAGCCTCATCCGGGGTGGGGTCCCCCACGAGCACCGTGGCCGGATCTGGAAGTGGTGTGTCGGCCTCCACGTGAAGAGGTTCAAGGAGAGCAGCCCCCCCGGCTACTTCCAGAGCCTGCTGCAGAACGCGCTGAAGAAGCAGAACCCGGCCTCCAAGCAGATCGAGCTGGACCTCCTGCGGACCCTGCCCAACAACAAGCATTACTCCTCGCCCGCCTCCGAGGGCATCCAGAAGCTGCGGAACGTCTTGCTGGCCTTTTCGTGGCGGAACCCAGACATCGGCTATTGCCAGGGGCTCAACAGGTACGCAGCCCTTCCAGGCCAGCCAGGTCAAGAAGATGGCAGTCCCAGGAAGATGGCTGTATTGTGGTGGGGTGTGAGGGGAATGAGGTCTGGGTGACCTGTCCACGTTTTTCTCCATCCCACCCAAGTTCCTCCCTCGTGCTTCCTTCGGTCTCGGGGCTGTGCACTCTCTTTCCCCCCTTTCTCGTTTTGCTCCTTCCTTCTCCAAAGTCCACTCTTGGATTCGTTTGCGAGGTAGGAGGCAGGCTGTTCAGGAATGGGTTCCCCTCTCTGTTTCTCCTTCCCAGGAGAGGAAGACCTGCACCCCTCGGCTGCGTGAGAGAGCAGGTATGTCTCGCTTGCCTGGCTCTGCGCCAGCAGGCACTTTAGGGTGGCGCTCCGTGTTTCATAGGCCACAGGAGGAAAGGAAAGAGGCTTCCAAAAGCTGCTGTCCCTTGCAGGAGCTGGCCGTGGCTTCTGCCCCCTGGCTCTGTGAATGGACGGTGGTCTGAGTGACCTTGGGAGATGAAGAGACGCAGCCTTGGGAGGGCTGCCTGGAGGGCCCGGCAAGCAGCTCGAGAGGGACCCTAGTTTCTCAGGCTGCAAAGGTGGGGAGGGAGAGCTGCATTTTCAGATTTGCAAAATTTTGCTAATGTCGCCTTACCACAAAGTAGAAGTTGCTTCTCTGCTTGCGTTTCTGCCTGAAAAACTGATCTGCTGCACGGAAGAGCTTTTCGTTGGAGGGGAAGGGAGGGGGGGTGAGCAAGAGGCACAAAGCCATCATTTCCTTCTTTCCTTTTGGAGCCCTTTTTCTGGGGTCTTGGGGCGCCTGGGTGTCAGTCTTTTGCTGGGGTCACCTCGAATGGCTCCGAGACTCTGTGGGAAGCGCCACTCCCGGTGTGGCCTCTTTTTCAGACTGGCAGCCATTGCTCTACTCTACCTGGAGCAGGAAGATGCCTTCTGGTGCCTGGTGACCATCGTGGAGGTCTTCATGCCGCGGGACTATTACACAAAAACACTGCTTGGCTCTCAGGTATGTCTGGGAAGAGTGCTCAGGAGCTCTTGCCAGGGCTGGTGGCCATGCCTTGCGGCTCTTTGAGATGGGGGCAAGTTGGAAAAGAAGTGGTGCCCCCCCCCCGAACAGCCTGGGGAAAGCCTTGGAGACGAACGGCCCAGGAGGAGGAGGAGGAGGGAGGGAGGGAGGCCTTCAGGATCCTTCTGAGAGCCCCTCCCCAGGAGGGCTGCCTTCCAAGGCTGTTCCTCCTCCTCCTCCTCCAGGTGGACCAGCGCGTGTTCAAGGACCTGATGAACGAGAAGCTGCCCCGGCTGCACACACACTTTGAACAGCACCGGGTGGACTTCTCGCTCATCACCTTCAACTGGTTCTTGATCGTCTTTGTGGACAGTGTGGTCAGCGACGTCCTCTTCAAAATATGGGATTCCTTTCTCTATGAGGGACCAAAGGTAGGCCCCTGAGTGGAGTCCCCGGGATCTTCAGGGCTTGGGAGGGGAACCTTCTGGGGGCTCGCTCCCTTTTGTGACCCAAAGCTTCATGGATGCGCAGGTGATCTTTCGGTTTGCTCTGGCCCTCTTCAAGTACAAGGAGGAGGAGATCTTAAAGCTGCTGGACTCGACGTCCATCTTCAAGTACCTGCGGTCTTTCACTCGCACTGTCCTGGACGCCAGGTGAGCATGTCTGGTTTGCTCTGCCATTCACAAAGGAATCAGTCAGACGCTATTAGAAGGAGCTTCTGATTTTATCTTGTATTGGGGGAAAGAAAAATGGAGTAAAACAATGTAAATGGTGCCATAAAATGGGTTTTTGAGCCCTGGGCTTCCTCAGGAACTTGACAGGGTTCCAGGAGAGATTAGGGGCAAAAAAGGGTCGCTCAAACCCAGCCCAGTTTCTGTTACTGGAGCTTTTGATCAGGGGTTCCAGCTGCAGGGATCATTTCTTTTAATTAAAAGATCCACAGAGGTGGAAAAGTTAGCGCTTCCCTGCGGTGACACATTTGAGCCTGCTCTTTGGACGGCCCACAATGAGGCCTCTCTGGTGCCTCCTCCTCCTCCTCCTCCTCCTCCTCCTCCAGGAAGCTGACGGGCATCGCCTTCAGGGACCTCAACCCCTTCCCCCTGCGCCAGATCAGGAACCGGAGGGCCGTCCACCTGGAGAAGGTGCGCCTGGAGCTGCTGGAGCTGGAGGCCATGCGCGAGGACTTCCTGCGCGAACGGGAGACCCACCCAGAGAAGAGGGATCTGATCAGCGAGGATGAAGAAGACGGCTGAAGGGACCTCAGAGGACTCCTTGGGGGCGGGGGCTTTTCCACAATGCAGAACCTCGTGGGGATTTGAGGACAGCTTTACAAGTCCAGCGTTTCACAACTGAGTCAGATCCTGCTCAGATCGTCGTTAGTGTACCCAGCACTTTCATTTCAGTTGCACAGCTGAGCTGTGAGTGTTTTCCTGATTTTCAGAGCCTCTGAAATCCTCCAGACACAATACTGAAAGGCCCATCGTTTTACGCCAAATTCGTGGTCTTCAAATCATCCCATTTTGGAGACAAATTCCTTGTGGTCTTAAAAAAACGAACCAAGTTGCGGTAGCTTTTCTGGGGCTTCGAAGACGTTCTGCAGGTCCACCGCTTGGCTTTCCCACCTGGGGAAGCAGCAGCAGAGAACTGGAGACACCACCAGGGATTCCTTTTGGGCCCGGCTCCCCGTCTCTGTTGGAAACAACATGGCGACCAAGAAGGTGGTCCTTTCCCTGGCCTGAGGCGCTCAAAGGTGCCACATTCCTCTGCAGGATGGCCGGCCCCGTCCACAGCCAACAGCCCCGGCTGGACTTGGCCCCCGTCTCCCTGGTTCTCGCATTGGGAGCCTGTGGTTCCACGGAGAGTAGAGGAGCCCGAGAGCAGGTGCCCGAAAGTTCCCGTTGGGGAGCTGGGGGACAGTTCATCCCAGAAGAATCCAGTCCTTCCATTCAGGCTTCCTGCCTTCCTTGCATGCAGCTTTTCTTCTTCAACAATCCCTCCCCCCCTGCTCCTCCAGAGGCATTTCTTGGGGAAGCAGTTCGGAGCCCCAGTGGCCAGGAGGATTTGCCTGCTCACGACCAGATCCAAGCCACTTTGGGGGCCAAGAAGGCACCCCACAGCCCAGAGTCAGTTTGGGAAAGACAGAATCCAGGTCCAGTGTGGGCATTTGAATACCTCGCACTTGAATCCCAGTCTAGTAGGCCAATCCTGGGCTATAATAAGGTGGCAAAGGAGGAGGGTGAATCCTCCCCGGTGGAGTTTTGGCTGACTTGTGGCTACCTGGATTAATGTTAATGTGCTGGCCAGTCTGGTGGGTTTCCTCTGAAAGGGGGGCTACAAGGGGTACCCCAGGTTGTGTGATGGAACCCAACGGGCTGGATGTCTTCATCCTCTAGAGGCTTTCCAGACTGCCAACACTGAAGAGAAAGTTGAGGAAAGGGAGACAGCAATACACACACCCTAACACACCCCTTGGCAGCTTGAAGGTGGGTAGACTTCTACTCCCAGAATTGCTCTGCTGGTTGGGGAATTCAGGATGCTGATGTCCACCCATCTTCAAGCTGCCAAAGTTGAGAAAGACTGAATTTCCAAATTTTCAGGTCTCAATTCCTGCTATGAGGTTTTCCTTTCTTTTTATAAAGAATCCCAAACTCTGCTATGTACTATATATATATACAACGTATTTTATGCATGGTGTCAATTCAAGCAGAAAGTAACCCCCCCTTCTACTTTTGCAGTTTGCACAAGCTTCACAGAGATCCAGTCCATTTTTCTGCCTTTCTTGCTGGAGCCCTAGAATGACCCATCCCCTTCCAAGAGGCCTCTTCCCTCTGGAGGAGGGGTCCGGTATCCTGCGGAGGGTGACCATCACAAGACTCACAGGAGTTGGAACTCCCGGCACAGATTCCAGAAGATTGGGGGGAGGGCAGGAGGTTCTCTTCTGTGTAGGGTGACTGCAGTCAGGGATCCTGAGAGCTCTTTGGGGTTTAAAATCCCTAAATTCATTTGCCAGATGTTTGCAACCTCTTGAAAATGGATCATTTATTGTCTTTGATTTTTAAAGGCTTTTGATCTTCATTCCTATCTGGTTTTGTCTGACCAATCCCAACAAATAAATGCACACGACCACCTGTTGCTGTTGGATGGACTTTTCTGTTTGTGCCCGGGAAGCAGAGAGGGCTGCTCTCTCCCGCAGCTTCGGCAGACAAGGGGGTGGCACCCGTGGGCTGACAGAACGCAGGCCAGGAGGGGCAGAGGGTGGTGAGTCCTGCTCCTGCTTGGATTCCGGCTCTTCCCCCCCTGACCCAGTTCAGCCTTTGCCATTGGGGGTGTGGAGGGGCGGATGTCCTTGTAGTGGCCAGTGAGTCCCAGTTGAGTCTGGCGTCCATCTGAGAACGCTCCCTCCCAACCGGCCTCTGTCCCATCAATAATCTGCCCTGCGCAATGGGCCCATTGGGGAACAATGGCGGGCTGGGAGCCCAATGATTCTGGCGGCACTGATGCAGGAGAACAGGCCCTGCTGCCTCTCCCCTCCCTGTGCAGGGTCCTGGGGGGGGGGCAAGAGAAGTTCCGGCTGGGTGGCTGCTGCTGCAGTCCAGGCAAAAGGCAGGAAACAGCAACGGGGGGGGGGGATTTTCTGGCTAAGGCAAGAAAGGACTTTTTCCTGTTTGCGCCTTTTACCTACAAGCCTTCCATTTCAGTTTGCAGCTGTTATGATGGTCAGTCCAACAGCCAGATATTTAGGCTGGATCTGGCATTTTTGTCCACTTGTTGGGTCATTCCCTAGCAGCCGGCATAAGCGGATGTGGGTGTTGGATGGCAGCGGTTCCAAGTCAAGCAGCCCCTTGAAATTGACTGTTGCAATTTTGTCAGTGCCCAAGGTGTTCAGGCGGTGCCCCGGATATTTTGGGATCCATCCTTTTACAGAGAGAGGGGGAGCTTAAGGCATACCTAACCCTAATGCCTGCTATTTTCCCCATCACAACAACCCTGTGAAGTGGGCAGGGCTGAGAAAGTGACCGACCCAGCTAGCTTCATGCTTTCGGGGGGGGGGGGAACTAGAACTGGTCAGGACACTTCCCTGGTTGATGACCAACCTGGTTTAATGCTGGCTTAATCTATTGAATTAAGTAAGGAAAGAGTGATGGATGCAACCCAAGCTTTCTGCTGTTTCAAACTGAACCTCTTTAGAACATCTAATAATTCATAACCTCCTCAGGACTGAAACAGGAAGGCATTTTAGAAGAAGAAATGACTCGCTAAACCAGTGGTTCTCAACCTGTGGGTCGGGGCCCCATTTGGGGTTGAACGATCATTTCACGGGGGTCGCCAAACAACACAGTCTGCCAATTTTTCCCCCCTTTTCCTTAGCTGTGCTACTTCCTTTTATTCTATTGGCTTTTGAAAGCCAATAGAATAGACTCTCTTGAATAGAGTCTAATTCTATTGGCTTTCAAAAGCCAATAGGAATTGTCCAGGCTGTCTCTGCCCTGCTGAGCCCGCCAAAAGTCCCATTCTGCAAACGGTCCTGCACCAGTTGAGTAGTCCTCGACTTACGACCGGTTGAGTAGTCCTCGACTTACGACCGGTGGGGGGTCGCGGCATTAAAAAGGTTGAGAACCACTGCGCTAAACCAAATTGTTTCTCGGGGGATTTCAGGCTCAGCCTTCCGCTCCTCCGAGCCTCTTGCGAGCTCTTCTAAGAATGTCACTTTTTGCAAAACTTGTTTGACTTTATTATAAGTCCCGGAGGGGAGCCAACAGCCTTCCGCCCCCACCGCGGCTCCTCCCGGGCTCTCCTGGTTGGGAACCGGGGATCCCCGGGAGGGCCCTGCATCCGCTCGGACGGGGCTGCCCCAGAGGGGCGGGGGGCGCTTCGGCCCCCCCTCCTGGCCCCGAGAAAGAGCCGCCGCTCCTCCGGCCGCGAGGCAAGGCGGGGCGGGTCCGGCGGCGGGGAGGCGGCCGAGGCTCCGCTGAGGACCCCCGCCCACCCGGGGCTCCTGGCCAGGCCTTCCGCGGCGGGGCGGCAGGGGGCGCCCGGGACCCTCGCACGTCCGGCCTGCCCGCGACTCCTCCCCGCACCGGTCCGGCCAACCGAGGAAGCGGAGGGGGCGGGCGGCCGCTGGGTGGCTGGACAGCCGCCGCTGCTCCGGGCGCCCTCGGGTCGCAACGCCGCACAGGTAGACTGGCCGGCGGGGGCGGGGGGCGGGCAGGTGCGCCGGCCCGGGCAGGGCGGGGGCGGGGAGCGGAGCGGCGGAGCATGGGAGCGGGAAGCCGTCGGAGGGGGCGAGGCGGGCGAGCTGCTGAGCGGGCGGGGCTCCCGGCGGGGACGGGCCGTTTCTGCTCCCCGGAGAGCCCCCCGAGCGGGCGGAGGCGCCTTTCGGCTGCTCCTTGGAGCGGGTGGCCGCTCTCCAGGTCTCCGCCTCCCCACGTGAAGAGCGGGTCGGGCACCACCCGGCGATGCAGCTCCAGTGACGCCCGGTGAGGTCGAGTGCTGCTGAGCTGGCGCGTTGTCCGGGAAGCCCAGTGAACAAGGGAGCTCCTGAAGAGGGCAGAAGAGAAGCCCCCCCCCCCCCAAATCAGGTAGCTGCCTCTGTGGTGTGGCCGCACCTGGGCAAAGCCGCAAGCAGCCCTCGTGCCAGGTCGTTTCCCCCCCCCCGGGCCCTTGGCTGACCCGCCGGGCGCTCCATGGGGGAGGCGGCCGGCCTCGCTTCTTTCCAGGAAGGGAAGGTTGTTGGGTTTGTCAGGTGCCTCTTTCCTGAAGGCTTGTTTCCGTTTCATTTTGTCTGCCTCCGAGAAGGACCTGATGGTATGCAAAACTCTTGTGCTTTGAGAGTGTTGTGTGAATGGTGCACATGGGCACCAGCTGCCACAGCCTTGCCCAGGCCCTTCAGGGTAGGGAGACGTCTGTCCCGGAGCCCCTTGAAGGAACCTCAGGGTCTTTCTGGTGCTCTGCTCCCACCTCGGCCTAAGTCACCACCATCCCTTCAATTGATCACAACAGGCTGGACTCAGGCCATCCTGGAGCCATGAATGGTGGCCAGATCTGGTGATGTCCTGTGCCTGAACCAAGGAAGACTTTGGAGGCTTTGCGTTCTGCAGGCTCTCCCAGCATGACATTACGGGGTTTTGTGCACTGCAGACTGATGGGAAGCGGCTGGGGCTCCCCTTGGAAGGGCTGGCCTGGAAAGGAAGCAGAGGCTGCTCCCCAGGGCCCCCCAAGGGGAACTGTGGCTGCGAAAGGGGAAGGACAGCTTTTGGCAAAGGGGCAGAAACGAGCTGCTCTCTCTTGCCCAGGCAAGGGGAGATGATCTCAGAAGCAGTTAATTAATTTCATTATATCTTGACTTGCAATAATCCTCCAAATATTGGCAAGGCTGCTCAGAGATCTGGTACAGCCTTTTGCCCGCCGAAGCCCTAATTAATTTAGTCTGGCAGAGATTTTGTGGGCTGAAGCCATCTCCTGCCAAGGTCTGTGAAATGGGTTGATCTTGAAGGGCTCACCAGATTCTCACTTCTGCGTCTCAGAAGGAGAATCCGGGTGCCTGAATAGCAGAGTTTTCACGAAAAGAATCCCAGCCCAAGGGGCTTTTCGGATCCCTTTGAAACTGTCTCAGGGGAGTTTCACCCTCTTCAAAGGGCATCTAAGCCAAGGTGCTGTTTTTTCCTCCCAGGACTGATCCGAGTTCTTCCGCGGTTCCTCGTTTGGTCTTAATTGTATTTTGGATGCTACAAGGACATTTTCTCCACCAATTCATTTGTCTCTCGCTCTAGGTGGGCCTTTTGCTGCTTGTGGCTTCATTTTGGTTCAGCCAAGGATAATCCCAGGTGTTCTGCTGGGGTTTCAAAAAGTGGATCAGCCAATTTTCAGGAGATTAGAATAAAACACCCCTTTTAAGGCGGCTTAAAGGATGTCGTTCCCCAATCTGGCTGGAGACCTTTTTTTCTTTTTTGGTAGAGATCCAACAGATCAGAACATCCCATCTTCCCCTAAGTAAATTGGGGAGGGGGCCCCAGGCAGGTAAACCAATGGGGTTATGTTGTGCTCAGTCAGAACTGAGTCGGGAAAAGGACAAGGGACCCGGGGGTCTCAGGAGGGGGATCTGCACCAATTATGCTGCTGCAGGGGGAAGCTTTGCTGGATTAAAATCATCTTGGCACAAACACCTGATCCTTTGGAGGCCCCCACCTTCTCTCCCCCATCATGGACAGGTTCCTTCAAATAGGCTGCTTAGATTATCCCCATTTTACAGTGTGAAAACTGAGGCTAGGTAAGAAACTTTTCTCAGCTTCAGGAGGTGCCCAGGAAAAGATTTTGCCCATTCTGTTTTGTGGCTCCCCCTTTCCCTGTTTTGTGGCTCCGGCCCATCTGTCCATCTCTCTCCTCAAAAGCAGCCTTCCTTCCTTTACAAGCATCGCAGCTTCTCCTGGGCTGGGCTCTGCCTGTCCCGGTCAGGGGTGATTAGGGAGACCCTGGGTAAGGAAGTGGGCTTGTGCCGAGGGTGGGCCAGAGTTCCTGCTCCTGGATGTCAGCTTTAGCTTCTGCCCCGGCCCCACCAGGCCAAGCTGTGGGGCAGCCTCCGTGGGTTAGCACACATGCAGATAAGTTTGGGTCCCACGTAAAGCTGGCCACCATGCACCTATTGTACCAGTCCACACTTTTCTGACACTGAATTGTTATGACGTGTAACAGTCAACGAAATTAAATCTAAATGGGAGCCTGATGTATGCCGTACATGGCCTTAAAGTCGTGGCGGAGAGGCTGGAGGGAAGTTTAACCAAAGGAAGACAGAAATGAGCAGATGCTTAAAAAGGCTGTTTATTCTTTGGCTTTGCTTCCCAGCTTGCAGAGCGCAGAGTCCAAGAATGGCCGTGTTTAAGCAGCAGAAGGTCGAGGACCTGTATGAAATCGGGGAGGAGCTCGGCAAGTAAGTGAGCCCAAGCTTCCCTTTTATTCCATCTGGTTCCAGCCTTTAGTCTCAACTCAGTGACTTCTTTGCTATTGCGTTTCTGTGCCACGGAAATGCACCTCCCAGAGTGGCTTTTAGGGGGTTGCCTGGTAGAGGAGCTGCAATAATAATAATAATAATAATAATAATAATAATAATAATAATAATAATAATACTCATTGTCATCGGAGCACTGGGAACTATGTCCAAAAACTTTGCAAAATATTTCAAGAAACTGCAGCTTCCTGCAATAACTCAAGCAATGCTACAAAAAACTGCGCTACTCGGAACATCTTACTTTTTAAGGAGATACCTGGTTGAAACCTAGAATGCTGGCAGCAACCTGTGTCAACCATCAGCGCCAGTCAATTTGAATGTTTAGTTGACTGAGGTTTACATCTAATGAATAATAGTAGTAGTAGTAGTAGTAGTAGTAGTAGTAATAATAATGATGATGTTGGAAGGGACCTTGGATGTCATCTAGTCCAACCCCCCCCTGCTCAGGCAGGAAACCCTATACCATTTCAGACAAATGGCTGTCCAGTCTCTTCCAGTTAAAGGAAGAATAATATTTGTCTTTGTTGAATGCTGGCTGGTCCATGTAGAAAAATTTTGGATTGCAAAAGCTTGGGATGAAGGTCATTTTTGTCTTACTGAATTCTTGCCTGATATTTTAACACTTGGGGGAGGTGTTAAAAGGTGCATGAAATACAAATTCAGAAGACATTAGCTCAGCTGTGTGATCGCTCACCCATGGTCTTGCTAGGCAAAGATGGCAAGGCATTTTCTCCTCATGTGGACCAGGAGCATTTCTAACATTTGGGGTCTGATGGTATCAAGGAGGACCCAGCATCAGAAAAACGCCTGCAGGTGCCTGGTCTCCAGAAACAGCAGGGATGGGCTCTTGGCTGCCTCCTTCTTGATTCTGCCAAGGGAGCCTCTGAGGTGCAGCAGCTCCAGGCGGTGACAGCTGCGTCTGGCCAGCGAAGGGATTGCCAGGACTCTCCCCGGGCAAAGAGGCTTCCAGCCAGCAGCTGACAGGGTTGGGAGGTGGGGTGACTGCCCGTTGTTCCTTTGCACCAGAGAAGGAGGCTGCCTTCTCCTGGCACAGCAGTCGGCTCAGAAGCAGCCCTGCAGGAGCCCCGCCTGGCGTGGGCCCCTGAGCCCAACCTGCCTCCCCATGGAGGAAGCATCCCCAGCAGGGGCTTTCTCTGGGGCAGCGGCCGGTTGTTGCTTCTTGCCCACAATTGGCCTGGCGCTTGGGGCCTGTTGGCACTGCTGCCAGCTTTGTGTGCCTTTGCAAGTGGTGGAAAGAGGAAGCTGCTCAGGGCATGAATCAAAGCTTGTTCCAGTCACGTAATTTCCTGAGCCAAATGGTTTTGGAATTGCAATTCTGGCCCAGTGCAGATGGCCCGTCCCCTGTGGCTCACTAGCTGACCTCACGAGAGCCATGACAAACCTGGAAAGGGACTGAGGGCACTCCAGGTGTCTCCCAGTTGCTTAGGACTGTGGTCCCTTCAGTGATGCCCAGATAGGCCGCCACGTGGTCAGCCAGTGGCTGGCGGAGACTTAGCAGCCTTTGGGGCAGTGGCTCCTCCTGGGTGCTCAGCGGCCGATGGCTGGACTGGGCAGTTGGGATCCACAGCACTAGGATCGTGTCACCTAGAATGGCCCTCGATGTCACGCTCCTTAGTTCTGTGGGCAGCAGCCATTCGAGTGACTTCATGCTTTACTTTGAACGGGTTCCGGGCGGTGTTGTTTGCAGTCAGAAGATGGGTGTGTCATTGTTGTGGAAGACTTTGCCATGAACAGTTGACCCAGGGATCTCCCCTTAACTCAGAAAAAGAGATCCTGTTTTGGACAGATCAGGCTTGTCCTTGTGCGACCCGCTCAGACTTTTTTGACAAAGGGTTCAGGAGGGGCCCTGCAGATGCTGGCAAGCAGAGCCCAAGTCTGCCCTTCATTTCTTGGGTGAACATCTGTGTCCTGCTTCTGCGACGACGGAGAATGTGGCATAAATGGGAGCATTGGGGAGGGGCTCTCGGCCAGCCTGCCCAGCTCTCCTTATTGCAATTAAGGGCTGGACTTCATACTTCCGAAAAGGAGGGATGGGCAGTGGCTTCCCTAGTTCTTTCCCAAGAGGTGGGCTCCCAACCCTCTCGCCTCAAGAAGAACCTTTGGGGGCTGGGAAGCACTTTCTGCCCCTGGCATCCTGAAGTGGGTCCTGGTGAATAATCAGTTAGCTGGAAGGGAGGATCCTGATGGGACAGATCCCCTCCCCACTCAGCCCCAGAGTCATTTCCTGCCCCCCCCCCCAAATCGCCTGCAGGGGAAGGCCATAAATTTGTCAGAGGGCCCTTTGAACCCCAGCTGGGGAAGTGGTGAGCAAGACTGACTCACCAAAGGGAGGAGGAGGTGGCAACGGGGGCCCAAGGTGGCCCTGGGCGTTGGCCGGTTCCTGAGCCCGGAGCCCTGTGCCAGAAGGAAGCCGAGGGCTGCTGGCCTGTTGGGCTGAAGAGCACCGATAACCAGGCAGCAGTCAGAACACTCAAGAGGGCTTTCCAGATGCGATGGGACTGCACTTCCCATCAGTCCCCCTTGGCAGATTAAGGACCAACCCGAAGAGCCTGGTTTCGGAGGCTCTTACATTGACGGTTGGCGAGACGAGCGGCTGGTTCTGAAGAAGCCCCCATTGGGTCTGCTTCGGGTTTCATCTGGCGCTGCATTAATGGCCAGGAGAGGCCAATCCAAAGTACGGTTGGCTCTCATCAGAATCCCAGAGAACGGCCCTTGTGCAAAAGCAGATGCAAATGAATAATTTGGCACCCAGGTGAGGCAGGAGCGCCTGGATGAACTTTGTGCCCCACCAAACAATGGTTGGGTGTATGTTGAGCAGGCTGATTCTCACAGGTGCAGCCCACATCAGCCTGAAGGATGGCCGGCCAACCCAGGGAGTGGTCAGTAACTTGCCAGACCCAGGCCTATCCCAGGATAAAAAGGGGGCGAAGAGCCAAAGGTGTCTGTGCTCCACTGAGAGATGCGCAAAGAGCCCAGCGAGCAGGTTTCGGCCCCCCGGAGCCTGTCCAGCCCCCCTTCCCCTCCCCTGCCCCTCCTGGTGGAAAGGGGGCCAGCAAGCGAGCCGACTCAGTCAGGCATCTTGTGTGAGTCAGATTTGCTCACTTCAGCTGAATGTTTGCATTTCTGGGCTGGTTCTTTGGAAATCGGAGTAGGATCTTGGCCTGGCATTTGGCCCACAAAGTGCCCGTCCAGCCTCACCAGTAGCTGCTTTGCTGTGCTGCCGGGCGGGTCCCTTTGTCCCCCCCCCGCCCTTTTTCTCTTTGGAAGGCAGCCTGTCTGGACAACAAAAGGCACCTTGTGGGCAGCCTTTGGGTCAATGAATGACTGAAAAAAGAGCCCCCCCCCCCGCTTTTCCCCCTCAGCCTCTCTGCTGCTGCTGCTGCTTCTGCTTCTCTGGATCTGTGTCAGGGAGGGAAGAGGCCACGGCCAGCCGGCCTCTCCTCGGATGCCCCTTTCCTGAGGTTTCCTGGGGGAATCTGGGGGCTGCATTCCTTGCCTTGCAGGTCTTGGCTTTTTTAAAAAATGCAGCCCCTCCTTTCTCCACAGAAAGCCCCCCCCCCCATGCCACAGGATGACTTGGGGCCTCTTAGCCTGGCCCACCTCGCAAGGTGTTCTTCAGGAGATGAAATACAGGGTGCTGCTTGGCCCCCAGAGGCGGTTCCTGTGTTGCCCGTCGTCCTTCGACCTTTGCTGCTTGGTTCTGTCACCCTCCACAGTCCGCCTGTGGCCCCCCCCCCAAGTGACTGGCCTTCCCTTTTGCTGCTCCTGGCTGGGACCTCATTCTGGGCAGAGCTGCTCCGCTCCCTGTCTATCTTCAGCCTCTGGGAGGGCCATTCCGGCCATCAGGAAAGGCAGCTGAGAGGGGGGGAGCTGGGGGGAGGAGAGGAGGCCGGCTGGATCGGTTGCCCACCCCCACCAGCCCTCTTGTGCAGCAGCAGAGAGCCTGGCTGGCCAACCCTGTCCAACTTTGCAGAGTCCAGCCAGGGCACCAAGGAGAGCCTGGGGGGGGACGATGTCTGGGAACTGCTCAGCTCAGGGGGCTCTGATCCCAAAGAGGGGGTTTCATTGTGGCCCCTGGGCTGAGCAGCCGGGGGGGGGGAGCAACCAGCAGTCTCACTTAAAGAGGGACTAATTGATCTGGAGGGTCCCTTTGACAGAGGAGCTGCCCAAGCAGATTTGCCGTAACAGGCCTGGGAAACCTGCTTTTGGGGGGCTGACTGACATTTTGAAAAGCAAAATAATAATAACAACACAACTCTTTACAATGGTGGTTTCACACACACACCCCCATGCTGGGGATTGCAGCTAAAGTCCGACTTCACCCCCCCCCCCCGCCACCTTTCCTTTATGGCTTGGCATGATGTATGAAGCCCTGCCATTTTCTGAAGGGGGGCCTCTAACCTGGTGACTTCAACCAGGTTGGATAACAGGTCGCATTGTCCCCAACCGGCATAGCTGGGCAACAAAGCCTGTTTTGCAGCGTGTGAATGCTCTCCTCCTGAGGTCATCTGGTCAGTGTAAACACTCTCCTGGTCACTCTCCTCCTGCCACCTGGGGCTCTCCGACAGGCTCTGGACGGTGCCACCAAGTCTGGTTGCAGCTGCCAGTAGAGGAGACCCCCCCCCCGGCTCCCCTGCCCAACTCATCTCTGCTTGTAAGCTGAGCATCGCTTTGGCCCAGCTGGAAGCGGCTTTGGCCCACCCAGCTCTGAGCAGCTGCCTTTGCGCAGCGTGGGGCTCTTAAGGCCGCATCCAAAAATACCCCCTGTCCCTCATGCCCAGCACATGACGTGACACTGATGTTTAAATGACATGCCACCAGCAAGAGCTGCATTCTCCCCCGCCTGTCACTAAATATGCTTTTTCCAGATCAGATGGGATTGCAACCTGGTTGAGAAACCTGCTGAGAAAGCTGAAGTTCCTCAGTTTCAGACAAAATGGGGTGCCTCTGCTTTTTCTGAGCCAGAAAGAGCTCCCCCCATTGCTTATTCTTCAGAGGCCACAAAGCCTAGCACCATCTGGTGTCTCAGTTGCATCACTGCACTATCCACACAGCCAGCCCCTGATGGCTCTCAGTGAGTTGGAGCACTCTGAGAAGGGGTTGGAGGGGGTCTTCTCTTGCAGCGGGGGGGGGGGGGAGGGCTTCGCATGCACTCTATCCTTGACAGGGTTCGAGGAAAGAATGGTGCAACTGCTTCCTCCCTCTTCTGCTACCAGGTCTGTGTTCGGGTTCCCCTCCTTTTGAGCTTCAGAAGAGCAGCGCCCGGCTTCCTGCAAGGAGGCCCCTTGAATCCTCTTTCTTCACACCTGGAGGGGAAGAGGGCTTGGGAGAGCCCCCTCCCCCAGATGCTGGAATTGGCTCATCTGGTCTCTTGGCTTTCTGTTTCTGACCTTGGAAGGGAACCCGAGCGGCATGCCGGATGGGCTACCTTGGGCCTCCGATGGCCGGCGGTGCAGGAAGGCTGCCCCACTTGAGCCTGGTCAGCAGTTGCATTCACGCCCCTTTGGGGGGCGGCTTGAGATGCCCCTGGGCTCAAAGGTCCCACTTGATGGGGCTTCGCTTCTCCCAAGGGTCCATCCAGATTGGCCGGAGTCGCCTTTCCACTCCCCTGTCCTGCCCCCCAAGGGGAGGGCAGAGTCGTCTGGCGGAGGAGCCCAAAGGCCCAAGGTGGCTGAGCAGCTCTGGCTCGGAAACGACCCTCCAAAGCCGGACAAGAAGGAAAGACGACAGGAGGCTCGGTTTGCCCCGAGCCTCCCACTGGGCCCCTCAGGGCTTGGCACAATGTACAGGTAGTCCTCGACTTATAACTATTCATTTAGTGACCATTCAAAAAAGGTGGCTTATAAACAGTGCTGGCACTTGTCGCAGCATCTCACAGACGCGTGATCAAAATTCCAGCACTTGGCAACTGGTGTGTATTTAGGACAGTTGCAGAGCCGCAAGGGGGGGGGTTGTCATCTGGTCACCCTTTGCGCCCCTCCCTGCTTTCTTTTGACAAGCAAAGTCAAGGGAGGAGAGCCGGGTTAGCTTAACAACCATTTAACAGCGGCAATCATTCGTTAACAAACGGGGCAAAAAAAAAAAAGGTTTTAAACTGGGCATCATTTAACAACCCCCCTGCTCAGCAGCAGAAATTCTGAGGCCACTTGTGCTCGTAAGTCGCGGACTGCCCGTATTCTGTAATTGGAAAGAACCGTCCCTCTGTCTGGAACCTCTTAAGAGGCTCAGTCAGGGCAGTTGGAGCCAAGTGATTAAACCTGAGACGCTTCATTGCTCCTCCAGGAAGCCTCTGCAGTCGCCCCGAGAATTCTGGGTCGGCAGAGAAAGTCATTGGAAAGAACCAACTCTCACCCCAGCGACTGCAATGTGTAAATGAAGATTCAATCACCCAGGCCAAAAATGTCTCAAATGGACCAAAGTTGATTAAAAAAATCTTTATGACTCTCTGCCTACCCAAATTCTCATTTTGACTGAAGAAGTTACTTGGATGAGTACCGAAATGTCCCAGGTTTAATTTTGGTCCAGTTGCCGTGATTTAATCTTTTAAATACTTTTGGCCTGGATGACTGAATCATCATTTGCATCTCTGTTTGGAACGTTGTTCTCCCTTGTCCAGCCCTCCTCCGGCACCCATTTCCTGTATCTCGGCTGGTGGGGATGGGGTGCATTCAGGAGCCTCCCTCAGCTTCCTTGACTGGATCCTGCCCCACCCCCTCGCTCCAGATTAACCGCGTCCCATGGCTTTGCTTGCAGCGGGCAATTTGCCATCGTGAAGCGGTGCCGGGAGAAGGCTACGGGGCTGGACTACGCGGCCAAGTTCATCAAGAAACGGCAGAGCCGAGCCAGTCGCCGTGGGGTCCGGCGGGAGGAGATTGAGCGGGAAGTGAACATCCTGCAACAGATTCTGCACAGCAACATCATCCAGCTGCACGAGGTTTACGAGAACAAAACCGACGTGGTCCTTATCCTCGAGCTGTGAGTAGGGGGATCCGTCCGGCATCGGGGTTGGTCGGTTTCTCCTCTCGGAGAAATCTTTGAGAACGGCGGAGCACATGAACAAGGAACTATTTCACTGTTTCTTAAGCTGGGGGCTTTAAGATCTGTGGACTTTCTGCTGGCTGGGGAATTCTGGAAGTTGAAGTCCCCAGATCTTAAAGTCCTCCAGCTTGAGAAACACCGACCTATTTCATCAACACAGAGCGCTGAGAATCTTCCAGGTCATGAGGCGCTTCTGGGTCTCTGCTGTCTTTTTGCCTAAAATAAAAATTAATCTATCTGCAGATCAGTTTAGGGTTTCTGCTCTGCTTATCAAGTATTCTCCATTCATACAACACACAATGTGTTGAGCCACATTTTTTTCAGACCTTCAATGGATCTCAAGCCAGAGGGCTGAAATCAAACAAACCACAAAGTGCCCACACATAGGTCCTCATGCACAATAAGCATGGATGCACCCTGTTTCTTGCTTGTTTCTAAACCCAGTTTTAATGAAGTGAATATTATTTGAACAAGAAGGAAACTGTTCCAGGTTGTTAGTTCAGAACAAATGGAAGCTTGGAAGCCAGAGCTATGAGTGCAAACTAGAGATGAATGCACAGCCACTCCTTTTAAGCGCAAAACTTCAAGTTACTCAGCCCTTCCAAGTAAATATGGATTCTGCAAGTGTTGAAATGCTCAGAGAAGATCTCTAGAAGCCTGGATCAATGCTGAGTGCCACCTAGCTATAAAATTCACTGACTTAAGCGTAGCATAAATTCCTGCATCCGAGTTTTCAGGTCACCATTATTGCTGGATTTTGACAGAATGCAAAGTAAAATTGTGTCTCTTGTCACAATTATAGATCTGTCACATAGCCCAGTTCTGCTTCAGGCAAGAACATTTGGGGGCATTTCTGTTTGCTTTGGTGGTTCTGGGGCTAAAATACACTCTCGGAAGTGAGTTGTTGTGTAGTTCATTTCCCAGAGGGCAGAAAGGACGAGAGAGCAACGTGAGCCCCGAATGGGAGCATGAAACAGCAGCCCGATTTGAGGCAGGAGTATAGTCCTTCCGGAGACTCGTCCTCACAGGAGGCTGCCAGTTGGGGGGGGGGGGTTGCAGAAGGAGCCTCAGGTTGATGGGGGGGGAGCACATTTGGACAGCGGGGGTTGGGTTCGGTTGGGGAAAAAAAGCAAACTTGGAAGTTTGCAACTCAATCCTTTTCTGTGGAACAAAACAAATGAAGTCAATAAACGAGAGGCACCTCATCAAAATTATGGCATCTTCACGGGGGGAGGGGGAGCAGCCATTTGCTGAAAGGGAAGCCATCTTCCAACTTTTCTGGGTGTTTCTATGAGACGGCTCCTTTTAGGGCATCTTCTAACCCAGGGAAGAGAAGAGAAAGGAAGGCATCCTGGCTGTTCTCCTGCCCACAGGCAAGATTTTTATGTGTTATTCCCCTCGTGGTTATAATGTTATTTCTTTTGGGTTGAATTGTCAGATAAGCAATGAACGTGTCGGCAAGTGACCAGTGACTGCAAAGCACTTCCTCCCCTTATTTCGCAGAGTCTCCGGAGGGGAACTTTTTGATTTCCTGGCCCAGAAGGAGTCACTGAGTGAGGAGGAAGCCACACAGTTCATTAAGCAGATCCTGGACGGGGTCAGCTACCTGCACACCAAGAAGATTGCCCACTTTGATTTAAAGGTGAGGAGCAGCTGCAGCTGAAGCTCTTTTCCTGCCCGCCAGCCCAGCCAGGGGTGCAGCCTCCTGAGCCCCACTTCAACCCACCTTCGCTCCCTCCCTCCCTCCCTGGCTCAGCCTGAAGGTTGATGTTCTTCTCTGCTCTGCTCTTTCTCATCCCGAAGCCTGAGAATATTATGCTGCTGGACAAGAACCTTCCCATTCCTTACATAAAACTGATCGATTTTGGTCTGGCCCATGAAATAGAAGATGGAGTGGAGTTTAAAAATATTTTTGGGACACCAGAATTCGTAGGTAAGTTGATGTCCTTTTGCCCTTACTCTTATGGCTTTATCCTTATTTGCCGTTGCTTTTGGACTCAAGAAGACGGGTGAAAACGGTCCCCTAAACTCACCCAGGGCCTGGGGTGGCAGGCCCTCTCAGTCCAGGACCCTGCTACTGTCTGCCAGGAGTGCAGTTTCCTTCCTAGCCAAGGATGATGGGTCCTGGCTGTCTCTAACATGTCTGGGAGGCTTATGTTGGGGCAGGCAGCCTTTGTCTCTCTGACCTTGGGGTCCACGGTCTCCTTCCAGCTCCAGAAATCGTAAATTATGAGCCGCTGGGACTGGCAGCTGATCTTTGGTGAGTCTTTTCTCCTGTGTTTGCTCTACCTCCAGCCTCCTTCCTTAACCGGGTGTCCTTTGGTTGGGCAGGCTGGGGGTTGGTCTAGCTGATTTCTGTGTGCTGGATCGGCCTTTGAGAACCAATCAGCAAACAGAAGACAAGTTTGCTGTGTGTTTGTTTTCCTACTGTCAACCTGACTGAGTAATTGATTTTAGCATAAATTTGTGGGTGTTTTTTTCCCCTTTCCCCCCAGGAGCATTGGAGTCATCACTTACATATTGTAAGTACTCAATTATTAGTTCCCTGTATTTATTCATCTATTTATTTTTATCTGTTCCCTGCCATTTTCAATCCCACATTTCCTGCAAGGTGTGCAAGGTGCAGTCAGTGCCCCCTCCTCACTTTATCCTCACAATGGCCCTGCTGTAAGATTAGCCAGATTGAGAGGAAGAAACTTGTCTAAGGAAGCTGGTGGCAAAAGTGGGGACGGACTCCATTCCCTCCGTCCCTCCTGAGAAAGACGTTGCATAGGCACTCGAAGGGGATGTCTTGGACAGGAGGTAATTATGGGGAGAGGATGGGAGAGAATGACAAGAACTGAGTTGTAAAAAAGAACAGTGTGAGGCTGTAACTAAGTATTAAACGCAGATTGGATGGAGGTGCATACAACTAATTATTGCAATTAAAAACATTCTAATAGACTAGCAAGGTGGCGGAAAGTAAGCAAATGGAGAAGTCAAGGTTGGCCCCACAGGCGTCCTTGGGCAGGGGAAGGAGAAGATGCTCCATAAAGGGACTGCCCACTTTTTGCTCAGTCACCCCAGCAAAAAGCCCAAAGCTGGCCAGTGGAGCAAGGCCACTGGGAATCCCTGACAGCAGTTGCACAGGCCACTCACCAGGTGGCAGTGTGGAGCTGTCCATGATCTTTGGAAGGCTGCAGTCAGCTGGAGGAACTTCTGATGCCCATCAAGGGAGGGTGGCTTTGGGGGTCTCTGGCACCATTCCCCTCACCTCCCACCCCACCCCCCCAGCAGGCTGCCGTTCTTCCCTCTTCCTGGCTTCTGTTGTGTGCACCCAAATTCCTACAAGGCAGGAAGAGGAAAGATGGCTCCTCACCTGGGCTGGGGGAGGGGCTCAAAAAGGCAGCCCTCCCTCCCTCCCTCCCTCCTTCTACTGAGCCTTCCTGGGCAGCACAAACACTTGTTTCGGTTGTATAACAAGATTCTCACTGGGCCCTTTCTGCCCATGCTGTTCAGCATCTTCTGTCTCCACTGGCCCTGCCAATTCCACTCCTGATCCTCTGGCCCTCCCTCCCTTCCACCCACCCCCAATTCCCCATGCAGGCTCAGTGGTGCTTCTCCATTCCTTGGGGAGACGAAGCAGGAGACGCTGGCTAACATTACTGCCGTCAATTATGAATTTGATGAAGAATTCTTCAGCCATACCAGTGACCTGGCAAAAGATTTTATCCGGAAACTTTTGGTGAAAGATACACGGTATGTCCTGAGCCACTTGTCAGAAGCTGGCCAGAGTTGAGAGTCCCACGTCTAGTCCAGGAGGTGCCTAGATGACCGCCAAGTCTGAGAAGAAGCTGGAAAACGTTTGTGGGCTCTAAAGGTGCCTCATTGGGACTCGTGGGAGGAAAGGGGGGGGCTGTTCAGCGTAATTTGGCTTAGCTGCCACAGAGTTGAAGGGCTCTGCTTAATGGAGCTATCAGAGAACCTCCAAAAAGGAAGAAATGGACATTTTGGGGGTGCTCTTCCTGGCCCCCTAATCTAAGAATGAATTTCCCAAGAGCACCTTTAGAGGTGTCAGTCTTGCCACTTCAAAGTAAGCATAGAAAGTGCATTGATTGCAACTCATTGTAGGTAAACAGGTTTATGACTCTCCACCCCCCATGTGCTTCCTGGACTCCCTCTGTTTAAGCACAGGGAGGCTCTGGGTGGGCCTCACGTTCATGATCTGAGATCTTTCTGTGGATGGAGGAGTGGGTCCGCCCTCCATGCTTCTGACCGGGGGGGGGGGCTCTTTCCCACAAGGAGGGTTCACTGAGGTCCTTCTCCCCTTTTAGGAAACGACTCACAATCCAGGAAGCTCTCGGGCACCCCTGGATCCAGGTAAGTCAAGAAGGGGCCTGTAGGCTTTGCACTGGATGGGAGGAAGGCATCCATGTCCTGCTGAAGTTGGATAGAACTTTGTATGGCCCTGCCTATTTGGGCAGAGAAAGCCCCCCAGTTTCATACCCAAGCCCCTGATTTTCATCAGTCAGCAGCACCGAGGTCCATCAGCCACTCCTTTGGGGGGGAATCTTTCTGTTTACTGTAGTTCTCTGCTACAAAGCCTGCCCAAGCTATTTCTGGGTTCCTGTTCAGAGGAAAGGAATAAAGCAAAGTAATCAGGCCTAGCTTTTTTTAAAACAATTCTTCTCTTGGACATCATATTATTGTTGTTGTTGTTGTTGTTGTTATTCCATATTTGAGATACAATTTTCTGTCCTGGCACACACTGAGTTGTCCGTACCCGTCTCTGCTGTTGGCATGAAATGAAGCAGTTTGTTATTTCGGCTTTGCTTGTTTGGCTCTTTCTGAATGTAAAAATCCTTCCATCCTGCCCTTCTTGAAGTAAGCAATACCTTGAAAAAGAAAAAAAAAAAGAATCACCTTGTTGCCTGTAAGAGCAACTTTCCAGGAGGGACTAGGAGAAGGAAGGCCCGCCTCAAGGATCGCCCTCCTTCCTTGGGGCCTGCATGCCAAAGCCGGAAGGGGTGTCTTGAGGTCAGCATTTCCCAAGTGGATTTTGAAAACTCCAAATCAATTGTAGAATATCAAAAACTTATGAATGCTGGCAGTCGTATGTAAACTGATCAGAATTTTTATTTTATTTTTGGATATCCATGAAATGAGTTGGCACAAAAGCCACTCTTTGCTGGGCATCTCGTGTAAGACGGGCTCTGCCCCCTGGCCAGCATTTTCTCTTTCGGGACTATCAGAATCAAATGCTGGAATTTGACTTTTCCTATGCCTCCCTCTATAAATACTCATCTGGCTGCCCCAGAAATGATTCTGTTTTTACAGAGGTTGGTCCAGAGTTGTGTAAAGAGGTTGATTTGGCACGTAGTAAGGTCATTTTCCGTGTGGGAAAGCTCCTGTTTCACAAATAGTTTGCAAGAAAGATAACCAAATGCATGAAGAGGAGAAAGGACTTGCGCTTGCTTCTGGCACCATGCACGTGTGTATTTGCACCCTAGTTTCATGATGTTGACGTTGTGGTGTCTTTAGACCCTTGTGGTGAGATGTTCTTGGTCCATAATCCCCCTCCCGGCTTCTCTCCAGTCCAAAGAAGGCTCCAGAGCCCAAGGCCACAGGAGGAGTGAGGCCCGGCCGCTGGACACCAAGTGGCTGAGAGATTACACCATCAAGAGCCACTCCAGCATTCCTCCAAACAACACCTATGCCACCTTTGAACACTTTACCCGCGTGGTGGAGGTGATCTCTGACATGGAGAGGAGCTTTGGCACCCTGGCAGCCTCCCACGACACCTTGCAGGGGGACATAGACGCCCTGGTCTCCATCTACGATGAGAAGGAAGCTTGGTACAAGGAGGAGCATGAGAGCGTGAAGTATGAGCTTTCCCAGCTGAAGTATGAGCATCGCAAGATCGGATCCTTGAAGAAGCACCTGAAGGAGAACATCCAGGCTGTGGGCACCAACCTCGCTGGGGTCGCAGGGAGGTACCTCGGCCTGCAGTCGCACTACGAACGGCTGAGCAAGGAGCTGTCGGAGGAACTCAAGTGGGTCCAAGACTTAACGGGCAGCTTCTGGCCTGAGGGCAGCCCCCAGGGCCACGCGCCAGCCAGCTTCGGCTGCATCTTCCAGAAGGACCTCAACGACTCACTGATGGAGCTGCTGAACAGGTCCTGCTGTGAAGAATTCCTGGCGGCCTTAAACCTGGGCATGACAAAATCCAGTCAGTGATGCTGCTGAAAAGGGAAATATTTATGCTGTTGCTTCAGACCGAATTGGTGAGGAATTGCTTGGACGGGAGCTGCATGCTGAACTCACACATTTGGGTTTATTTTTGAACAATGTTATTTGACAGACCTTTGTTACCACTGTATTTTTATATTTTTTTTGCCTCTGTGAAAATCGATCCTGATGGAGATGCCTTGGGTTCTGGATGTTGCCTGCCTTGGTTGGGTTCCAATGAATTTCTAATAAGGCCTTGCATTTTTTCTTATCAAAGCTTGCCCTATTTTTATCCTTTGGAAGATGGCCTTAGCTTACCTTCACAACTGAAGACTTCCTCAATACTTGACTGTAGATCAACATCCTTAAAAGCTTTTATTTATTGCTGAGGCCGCAGTGAAGAGGCATTGATTTTTTTTCATTTTGAAATTCTGTATTTTTTAATAATGGAGCCAGATGTGAACTCTATTGCGCTCTGCAAAGCACTCTCTGCAGGCTTTCTGGCTGAAAGTCAGTCTTGTGAATATGTTGGAAAATAAACGGAGGATTCCGAATAAATTTGCACAGATCCCTGTCACCTCACATGTGCTGCTGCATAAGGCAGGATCTTCAGCCTGGACATTCATCTCATTCCGCATAAATAAACCACTTCCTCCCAGTTAAGACATCAACTCTCTCTGTAATGTGAGAACTGATTTTTTTTATACAGACAATTTGAAAATGAAAGGGTGTGGAAGATGCAATTCTGGCTTACTGTTTTGCTGCTCTCCTTCAGATAGGCTACGTTCTGCCAACTCTGAAACTAATCTCGGAGAGCGAGACCCAATAAATGTTTGTTTAATGCAGTGTGCTTTCTAGACAAAGCTTTTGTTGAAACACCCTGAAGGATGATCTTGCCCCTTGTGGCAAATTCTGCTTGGTCGTTGGAGACGGGCCTCACTCAGAAATTATTTCCCTCTTAAGTCAGTGGTAGCGGACTCTAAAGGTTTAGGAGCTACTTGATGAAGGAGGTGAAAAGCAGTTTTATAGCTGCATGCAAAAGAAGGGGAGGGGGAGACCTTTAGCAGATAAGGGAGGAATTGTGGCTGAAAGGGGGGGGGGGCTCAGACACCAGCTGCTTGATGGGCTGTCTTCTTCTCAATCCCATGAAGCTACAGAAGGAAGCTCAGGTGTAGTTGAAGGCCTCCTCTTTCCATGTCCTCTTGATCTTCTCAAGCCTTGAACCGAAGCAAATTTCTGCCTGGGCTTCAAGCCAGCTTTCAACTTAGTTTTGTACTACTTTTTAATGTTTATACACCATGCAAAGACTTATGGAGTTGGGTAGCAGATACAGTAAATAAATAAAAACACAGTATGTAAATAAATCTTTGAGAAAGCACCTTGGTCAGCTGTTTCTGGTTCTTCCTCAGCCAAGATTTATATCTCTGAATCTGGGCAAAATATTTGAATCTGTAGGACTGTTAGGGCAGGGGGAAGGGTACTACGATAATTTCATACAGAATATTTAGTGTATCCAGCATGTTACAAGAACAAGGCGATGGGTCTTACTCTAAGGAACTTGAAGACTAAAATCTAACACCTGCAAAGGAAGGACTAGAGAGAAAAAAGGTGAACAAGGCCGAGATTAAGAAAAAAAAACCAGTCTTAAGTGTGAACCAGGCAAAACCCAGAGCTTTTGTGCACTTTCTGCTTGATGGGCCAAGGAAGGCCCGGCCTGATCTTGTCGCCTCTTGTCTCCAGCCCATGAACAACCACCAAGCCACGGTAAGGAGGGAATCGGTCGTTAACCTGGAGAACTTCAAAAAGCAGCACGCCAGGAGGCGGTGGAAGGTAAGAACTTGAGATGTGAGAGCAGGAAACAGAAAGGGAGACCCCAAGAGCTCCCGGGGAGTCCATGCCAGGCCGCTTCCCTTGTGAGCTTGTAAAGGCCCTTCCTTGGGGGAGAACTGGTAGCAAGGAAAGGGCACGAAGAGAGGGCGGAGGGGGAGGAGTTCCCTGGAGCCCCAGAGCTCAGGAGCCGACTTCTCCAGCCCACCAGGATGGCTCCTGCTCCTGGGAACCTCTGGCGGACGCTGCCTCTGGGTCCTGGCTGGACTGGCCAGAGCAGGCCTTGAGGCAGGGCATGGGCTTCCTTGCCAGGGGTGCCCCTCTCCTCCTCCTCCTCCTCCTAGATACGTTTTCTGCTGCCTCGCTGCGAAGATGGGGGTGCTTCTGAACTTGTTGAGTTCAAGCCTGGCTTGCTCCTTGTGCCAGGTGGCCTAGACTGAGTATCAAAGGGAATTTTCAGAAGAAGGAACAGAGGCAGCCGAGAATTGGGGAAGAACAAGGCATAAACCTTCCTGGTGTGGCTTCGAGGTGGCCATCTCTAGGAACATGATTAGTAGCAGGAGGGTGTCCCTCGTTTTGGCTTCCGGGGTGTGACCTAGTGCCTCTTTCTCCCCAGCTCACCTTCAGTATAGTGGCTCTGTGCAACCATTTATATCGCTCGCTGGTGCGAAAAGTTCGCTTAAGGCAAGAAGACAGTTTGGTAAGTGCTTGGAGGGCAAAGAGTTGGCAAGTGAAGAGTCCTGCTTGGGCTCAGAGCGCCGGCAACGCTGCCTCCTCCTCCTCTTGCTCCTTCAGTATTGGGACCTTGAGAGTTGCAAGGATCTGGCCAACTTTAGGACCAGCCTGGGGTCCCCGCTGCCCCAGGCCGGCTGGACTGCCATTCCTAGCACTCCTGAGGGCCTTTGAGCACCCTCTGGGAGGTCCAAGTTTCCCCTCCATGTTGCAGAAGCTTGCAGTGCAGGACTGTCCTGCGGCAAAACCGTGTCAGCAGAGGCAACCCAGATTTGATCCTGGTGAGTTTTGCTTAGGGGCTCCTTACTGGTGTGGCCAAGGAAAAGACCCTCAGGCCGGTCTTTGCGCACGTGGGCTGGGATTGTCCTCAAAGAGAGGACCTCTTCTCCATCGGCAGCAGGTCTCCAGCCTGAAGAGCGAACTGCTCTGTTTCAGCGCCATTGCGAAAGTGACGAGGAAGACCTGCCCGGCCGAACGGCAGCGTCCCATCGTCTCCTGAGGCGGAGGAGCAGCATCTCATAACTGGGACCCACCGGTTGGACTGCAGCTGGAGCTGCAGCGGCTGAGAACCTAGCTCATGGGATGAGCTGCTTGCCTTCCACACGGCGTCAACCTGGAACCCAAAGCTTCCTGGAGGACGAGGCCCTGGAAGGAGATACCCAGGACGGGGGGAGCCTTGGCCCAGCCCAGATGTTCTTGCAGGAAAGGGGAAGATGGAGGAGTGCCGCCATTCTCTTCGGGGCAGGGCCACCTGGCCACCAGGCTACCATCCTCTCTTTTCCAGCAGCAAGCAGATAATCTCTGGATGAGGCTGCAAACAACTTGGTCAAGGCAGTGACACTCTGGTGACCTTGTTTCACCCCAAACGTGTTTCTCAAGCTTGGCAACTTCAAGATGTGTGGACTTCAGCTCCCAGAATCCTCCAGCCAGCATCCTGAAATTGCCAAAGTTGATAAGCACCAAGACAGAAAGATGCAGCGAAGGTGGTGCTGAGAGGCCAGTCTCTCATAGGTTGCCTCTGAAAATACCTTCCACAGAAAGCAGTATGGCGCTGAGAAATAACAGGCACACCCATGTGTGTTTGGCTCTTATGCTGATGCTGTTTTTAAGAAAGGGCAAGAGGCACATACAAACAACGTGAGCATCAAGCTGGACTTCTGGAGAGCCTGTCTAAAGCCAGTAAAAAAGTCACAGCGGCTGGGCCGGGAGAGAAGCCTTGGCCTCAGCCAGCCTCTGAGCATGCTGGGCTCAGCAGGGTTTCCCTTGCACCGATTCTCCCCATCACTGGCGACATGGGGCTAGTTGGGCAACTCTCCCAACCAAGCTGTGTATTTTTTTTCACGCACGTGCAGCATCTTCTCAGGGAATTCATGGCAGTTACCTGGTTTCATTTTCTTTTTACCTTTTAAAGAGATGAGGATGTCCATGCGATCGCTCAGGTTCCCGTTTGCCAGTAGCCAGAAGGCTAAAAATACACATGGTGCAATGTTGGGCATAGAGGAAGCAAGCAAGGAAGCTCAGCTGTGCTCCCTTGGCTGGGTGACCAGGCAAAAGGCTGCAGCCAAGCAGGCTGAATACCCTTTGAGCAACCCCCCAGGGAGTTCAGGCCTTTCCATAACCATAGTTAGCTTCATGCTGCAAATCTTCCCCACGTTGGTTTCATTCTTGATTGCTTGTGTGTATATCCTGTGTCTCCCCCTAACAAGGTGGATTCTCCCAAAATAAAAGTTACATATGAGGTAGCAGTTTCAGCAACGTTGTTAGCATCACAGTTTCAGATAGGCTGTGCATCGCGGGTCTCTGCATGAGGAAGGAGCGTCTTTCATGCATGTGGCCTGCTGAGAGAGAGAGACAGACACATACAGAGACAGGCAGCCAAGGAGGGCTCTCTGGAGCCCTTCCAGCCTAATCTGCATGATCGAAAGGCAGTCCAAGTGGCTCCTTCAACCCTGGGCCATCTGCAGGACGGACAGCTGCCCTCCTGCCTTTCCAAGGGCTTCTCTTAGCAGCCCCGGCTGGCCAGTGCTGCCCCTTTGCGAGCCTGGCAGTCGGAGCCTTGCCCCACAGGCAGGCAGGGTGTCTGAGTTGCTCATGGCTGGAGGGAGGAGGATGCTCTCTGCAGCCAGGTCCCCTCTGGAGCCTCTGCAGCTGGCATTCTGTCCCGCCACGTGCCTGGCTCAGCCCCTGGAGGTGGCCAGCAGACGGGATGGGGGGAGGGCAGCCTCTCCTTGGCCAAAGAAGCGCTTTTACGGCAGAGTGGGGAGGGGAGGCTGGCTGGGGCCTTGTGCTTCTGTAGGGGAGACCCTTTACTGGGGAAGATCTCCCCCCCACACACACACTTTTGGGTTGGTGGTGAGGAACAGGCCCACCATAACAGGGTGGAGCTTTATTTTTCTTTTCTTTTGCCCTTATTTCCATGTTCTTTTGAGAATCCTTTTCTGAAACGGAGGATGAACTTTACCAGCAGCAGATTCTGGATTTCAGGCCAGGACCTTGGGACAAGGGCAGTTCCCCCCCCCCCCCGCAGTGCTGATGCAACTGGGTCCCCCTGGGGTGAATTTGGCCCACCACCCAATGTCTGCAGTGCTGCATGGCCGGTCATTTCTGGAGCCATCCAGCTAAGCAGGACAGGAGAAGGCAGCTCCCTGGGCAGATCTTCTGAGGGGGAAGCTGCCCAGGACGATGGATTCATTTGAAGGAAGGAGCCTCATCCAGCATCAGGGAACCCCATTAACTTTGTGTCCCACAGAAGATCAGTGGAGGAATATTTCCCAGGAAAGCAATTTTCCAAACTTATCAGCTGACATTTGCCTTTCCTCACCCATTTACAAACCCAGGTTGTTCCACCAGCTGCATCAGAAATCATATTCCTTTCTGTAAGAGATACAGAGTAGATCTAGCTTTGATCCAGAGATGCAGGACTGGGCCCACCGGCCCTGGCCCCTCTTCCACGGACAAAGGGGGCCCCAACTGTGGGGCTTGAGGGCTCTGAAGGGGGGGGGGCTTGGGGTAAATAGGGTCCGCATCTGGGCTCCTTTTGCCTTTTTTTCCTACAAATGGAGCCGCCAAAGAGGATCAAAGGATGCGAAAGAGAATTAAATCTAATCTAGACTCGGAATTCGAATTACAGCCGAATTGCGGGAGAGGGAGGCCGGAGGGGGTCGGAGCTTTGCAACGCGCTTCCTCCCGCGGAAGGGAGGCTTCACTCGGGGGTGCCCATGATCCACAGCTACTGGATAACGACTGATGGGAGATGGACTTGCTGCAGGTTGCCACGTTCGCTTTGCCCCAGCCTGACCGAGGGAGGCAGACGGGAGGGATCGACTACAAAGCCCATCCTCTCACTCCCTCTTGCTAAGGGACTGGACGGTGAGGAACCGCCTCTCATGGGGGACCGCGCGCTTTCCTTTCTGCGGTTGGGAACTGTAACCGCCCGCGGGGCACGGCTGGCCACGGCGCTCGGCCCGCCCTGCCACTCCCGGCGCCGGACGCCAGAGGGCGCCGTGGCGGCCAGCCGGGTCCTCTGGCTCGCGCCCCCCCCCCCAGGGTTGCCGCGCGACGGAAGCGGGAGCCGGCAGCGGATCTCGCGAGGCTTGGCTGGCACGGAGCTCCTCCTCCCTCCCTCCCCCCGCGCGGGTTGGTTCCTGCTGCCTGAAGGGAGCGCCGCCGCGGGAGGAGCCCAGGGCGTTGCGGCCGGGCAGGCGGAATCGAGCAGGTAGGCGCGCCGGGCGGGCCGGGGGCGTCTGGCCCCCGCGCGGCGGGGCTGAGGCGGCGGCCGGGCCTCCCTGCGCGGCCGGGACTGCAACTCCCGTCGGCCCGCCGACCCGCGAGGCATTCTGGGCGGGCGGGGCGGGAGCGGCGGCGCCGTAGAGCTCCGAGCGCGGCCCGGTAAGGCGGCCCCGATGGCGGCGCTGCGCTACGGTCCCCGGGGGGCGCGGAGGGGGGCGCGGGAGGGCGAAGCAGCGCCGGCCACACTTGAGTCTCGGCGGGGCGGCTGCGGCTCGCCTGCCCGTTCCCTGGCGGGCTCCGGGCTCTACGCTTAGCCCGGGCGGCCCTTCCTCCGCGGCTCTGGGCAGCTCCTCTGCCGGCGTCGTCTCAGCCCGCGGCCGGGGCCCTTCCTCCGGCCGCTTCCCCGGGGGGCTCCGGCCTCACCACCGCGCTCCCCTCTTCGGTGACGGGGCACCCGGGACTGGCCGAACGGGCCCGATGCCCGGCCTTAGGCCGGGGCCCCCGGCGTCGCCTTCCGGAGAGCGAGGAGGGGTTCGGCCTCCTCGGCGGGGCTTTTGCGGCGGGCTCCATTGGCGCTGTCAGCAGCGCGGAGAGTCGCGTGGCGCGAGCTTCGGGAGCCGGGAGCCCTTCCGGGGGAGCCCACCCCTGAGCCGGCCCGCGCCGTCAGGTTACTGCCCGCCGTGCTGCACGGACCAGAAAATAGGTTTGATTTAACGGCGAGCAGCTGGCTACATGCAAGTACCGCTGTTTCTGCCCTCGGACACGGAAACATCCGGAAAAAAGAAAATGTTCGAAATTGGAGGGAGGCCCGATCGAGGCCAGGTCGTTGAATTAGAGCTTCGTAGTTCCATCCCTGGGGACAATTCCTGCACAAGCAGCCAGCTGTATATGCCCGCTTGCCTGCACGTTTATATTCAACAGTTTGTCATGGTTTAAAAAAATGACGGATGGGTCATGCTGAAGGCATACATGAGAATTTGAATAGATGGGAACAATCTGTACTGGAAGTCACTATTTGATAAGGTTTGCAAGTGAATAGGCAGGCATGGATGTAGCTGTCCTTTCACGCTGGGACAGTAAGAGAGAAAGGTAGAACTGTTCGGAGTTGAACTTTACGCTGGTGACTTCATGGACACATCCAGATAAAGCCAGAAAGATGAAAGGCATTAAGCCTTGAACCTAGAAGCTTTGGGGTTTGGTTGACCATTGGCATGGTTCCGCAAAGCCTGGGAATTGGCCAATGACAGCCTGACTTCCATGACTGCCTCTTGTGACTGATCCAGGGTCATCAAGCCAACTGGAACGTTTCCAGGCAACCCTAGTCAGTGGGTTCCTCTCTGGAACATTGGAGGAGATGGACAAGGGCCCACATTGGTTTGCCTTGCTTGGCTTGGGAACTTAATAGGTTGAAAGCATTGTTAATTATGTAAATCAGCTTTATATAAATTTGGCAATCAATACTACACTTTGCAAATTCACTCGTCCAAATGCTCAGTGGAAAGTCTGTATGGAGCCCTGTTGGCTATTAAATGGCAGAACACTGAAATGGTCGAAGGTCAAAGGTTATAAATAGAAGAGACCTCTTTTGCAACCTTGCCAGAGCAGATGGACTGGATGTGATTTCCTAGGCACAGTTCACACTGGCCCCTAATCTCTTAATAAATATAGCTGCCTTCCTTGGGGATAGCTGTTTCTATTTACCATTGTAAGTCACTCCCTTGCCTTCAGTTGAGGTTGGTTTGGAATGCCAAATTCTCTCACACTCCTTCGTTATGTCTTACAGATTGCCCTTGTTCCTGTTTATGAATAAATAAGTAATAGACCATCAAATGTAATGTTTATACACACACACACATACACACATTTCTGGTGTATACATACAGTATAAGAAGTCTTAAACAAGTAATAGCAGGGTAGCATACTGCAAGATAAAGCACAAGTGAATGTTCTTTTGTCTTGTACTCTTCAAAACACAAGCCTGTAGTGCAGTTTTCACAGAGAATATGTCTGTAAATATATTTTCTAACCTTCTGAAGGAGTGTCAGACATTCTTAGCTTATCAACACATCAGATTCTAAATAAGTATTTGTTTTGCTGATCACAAGTCCAACTTTACTGTAGTCTGTGCTACTTTGAACTTTCAGCACATAGAAAATTATGATTAACAAACACATTTTATAATTTTTAAATCAAATTACTCAGTTTTTAAGTTGTTTAATTTTGAATTTGTATCTCTACTTTTAAATTGTTTTTGGCATATTCAGAGCTGGAAAAAAAGCTCACCTTAAAGTAAAATACTACCTTCTGTTATGACGTCAATACAAGCTTTGACTTTGTGGATGCTGCTGACAATCTAGAATATTTCTAGAATATTGTGGCTAACCTTGAATATTCATTCCTCTTTGGAGCATATAGGGCTGTCTCCTCTGCTTCTGTAGTTATCTGGCCAGAAATGACGACTGGTTTGGGTTTCTGCAATGTGTTGAATTTGTCCTGAAATGTCTGTATTATGTAGTATCTAAATTCCATACTTCAAGGATGGCGATTGAGCCATCTTGTTCGCAGCATTGAACACTAGAACTTGAAAGATTTAAAGACTATTAATTCTGAGAACATTTTGCATTATTTAAAGTAATTTAAACCTTCTAAGAAAATGTAATCATTGTTCACATCACGACTGTGATGGCGAACCTTTTAGAGATTGAGTGCCCAAAAACCGCCTGGCCCGCCCCTGCTCCACCCCGCCACGCCCTCTCTGCCTCCCCCTGGCCCGCCTGCCCGCAGGGCCACCTACCACCTCCATGGCCCACCGCAGATTGCCATGGCGGCCCTGCAGCACCATGGCAGCCACGCCCTCCGCCTGCGCCGAGGGCAGAGTCTTATCCCTGCTGCCCGACTGCCATGTCCTTGGCTGTGCTGCTCCATGCGGGCTGTTCCTGGGGGCAACTCTCCTCCAGGGGGGCTGCTGGGGAGGAGGGGGAAGCGGGGCTGGGGCGACGGCGTGCATGCCCAC